GTTCTGAAAAGGGACCCCGAGCAAATGGTCCGCTCTGCCGAATCTTCGCAGTCTCAAGACATGATCCAGCTTCTGCGCAATAATATCAAACAATTGAGCAGCCGTCTCAGCACTCACTACAGAGCTTATGATGATATCACAGTGCCTGTGGTTCGTTTCTTGCAGCTTTTGGACCTTGGTGTATTCTTGGCCTCTAGCCAACCAGAACAGTCCAGCGATATCCCTGATATTCAGTCTCTGAGCGAGCGCACGCCCTTCTTAGGAGGTATTCACCACCCCATTCTTACTCAAACCGATCAGAAGCCCCATGGCACTCTGAAGAATGCAAACGAAATGCGCCTTCAAGAATTGTCGGCCCTTTGGGCCGCCAAGGATGCGGATTCCACAATCCTGAATACAAAGGCTGGACGAGAGATCATTCGTCGTGTTTTCGCTGATTTCCATCAACTGTGGAAGGCCAAGCTCGAAGAAGATCGTGAACAGGAGGCTGAAAAGGGAGAATTGTACCGCTTCAAGGGATCCTGGGAAGAGGAAGAAGAAGTCAACGAAGCCGAGCTACACGCACTCTTCCCCACATTCGACGAAGGATCAGCCGAAGACACAGAAACGACCGTTGGTGTTGACCGCATAGACCCTAAGAGTATTGCTCTCCGCCTTGCTTCGCTTCATGCAAATATCGTCTCGAATGAGCGCAGTGGAACTGCATTGACTACCTTCGTGAAGCAATCCGGCCATCTTTTAGGCTCAATCTGGTCTGACAACAAGACCTCATTCTCGCCGATCTCACCACAAACCCATCTTCCTGCAGTTCTTCTGCTTCTTGATGATGCCATAGGCGAGGGAGCCAACACTCAACAGAAGAATTACAACTTCTACACCGATTCGAATCTCGGAGAGGCAAGGAAGCTGGTTGCGCTCGCACTTTCTGTTCAAGCCCGCTTTGCCCAAATTCAAACGGCCTGGCCTGAACATGCTGTCCTCGCCGATGTCATTCAATGCTGCGTGGAAATCCTTCAGTTCAAGCACACTGAGCCTGTTGCCAAGTTCATGACCAAGGTTGAAAAGCTTCATTCATTCGTACACGAGTGGCAGACCGTGGCCAGCAGAGAATATTCAGCTGTTATTGTCTACGATGAGATTACGAGCACTCTCATTAGCTGGCGTCGTCTTGAGCTGTCAACTTGGGCCAAGCTCTTGGATATCGAGAAAGAGCGATGCGAGGACGAGGTGAGTGCTTGGTGGTTCATCGCATACGAAGCACTTATCGGCGCTCCCATCATGATGGCCGAGGCAGGCGAACAGGACATGACGGAACACACGCAAAACCTGGTATTGACCCTGGAGCAATTCTTCAAGTCTACAACTACGGGCCAGTTTGCTCGCCGTCTACAGCTCGTTGCCAACTTCCAGGCGTTGCTTGAAGTTTTCACCACAGATTATCCCTGCCTCAAGAAGCTTGTCTCTGCCTTGGACAACTTCCTCCACCACTACGGACCCTTCCAGCCCGGAGTGGACAAGTATTTGACGGAGAAGCGGTCCGTTCTTGAGAAGGATATCAAGGAGCAGATTCAGCTTGCAAGCTGGAAAGATGTCAACATCGTGGCTCTGAAGGAAAGCGCCAGAAGATCGCACGTCAAGCTATTTAAGTTGGTTCGGAAGTACCGTGCAGCCCTTGGCCAGCCGGTTCAATCTATCCTTGAAGCAGGCCTTCCAGAAAGTACCGAGGAAATCACTTCGATGTCCCAAGCAGAGCCAGTCCGCCCCACTGCCACATTCCCCGAGGCAATGGCCATTTGCCAAAACGACAAGAACCTGTGGTCCACTCGAGCTCTCAGATTCCAGAAGCCGGATGGAACAGCCAGCAACATGATGAATCTGTATTCGTCAATTCCAGCCGAGTTCGACATTGCGAAGGACCTCGACAGCTTCATTGTCTCGGTTATTGAAAGCATGAATGAGTTCAAGTCCAAGACACCCAAGGTCTTGAACGAAGACAACAAGGACGACGTCCAGCACCTCAAGTCCCAGAAACGCCGTCTCTATGCTGAGACCCTCAAGCAACTCTATGAGATGGGCATGAAACGTAATGCTGGATCGAGTGTGATCGAAACACAAGAGACGGTTCCGCAAGTTCTGGCCACTGCTGCTGCCTTTGAGGCTGGTGCTGCTACCTCAACTGCAGTTCAGAGTGCCGACTGGTACTTCCACAGACTTCTGGATCTCCTGCCTAAGACTCGTTTAGCATCTCGCAACTATTCTGAGGAGCTAAGCAATGTCGAGGTCCACAGGAGCATGGGATCCATTGAGCATCTCATTTTCACTGTCCGTCGTCAGAGAGGTGTCATTTCGCCTGCCCTCACCGGCTTGGGCAAGTTGAAGTCTACGCTTGACAAGGTGCAGAACCTCTGGACAGCGGCTTCGAACTCTCTGTCACAAGACCATGCTTCTGCTTTGGAGGAGCGAACTAATCTGGCCAGACTCGTGGCTTGGTTGGCTCCTATTCTTGAACTGGCTGCAATGATCATTGGAATCCATTCTAAGTTCTCAGGAATTGATGCATCTAAGATTGTGGAACAGCTCCGTACCAAAAAAGCATCCTTCGATAGCCTACGCAAGTCGCACGAAGCCCTTCCTATGCTTCCCACTAGGATTGCATCTAACGCAAACTACGAGATCGCGCAGCAGTCCCAATCCTCGCTCGATGAATTGGCTGCTGACTTGAAGCAATGGAGCCAAGCTCGCCCTGATCTGTCCTTCGCGCTGGATCAGATCGCACCTTGGGTCAATGCAAACATCCCTGCTCTCCCTGAGACCAATGACGAGAACACCCTATCCATCCAAGCCTTCGATAGCAGCCTCCTGACAGCCATCGACAAAATGCTCATTGGCCTCCAGAAACTCAAGGATGTGCCTTCTGCCATCACCTTTGAAGGATTGCTGTCCAGGAGTGATGAGTTCTTCTCTCGCGGTATCAAGGCTATCCATCTCACCGAGATCACCAGTGCGCTGGAGAAGGTCCTTGATCAATTGCACTGCCTGCAAGACCACTCCGCCGGCGGCCTTTCCGTTGCTGCCGCACTGATCACCAGTATCTTGCCTATCGCCAACAGATACTACCAAATCTGCCGGGATCTGGCTGATCGGTTCATTGCCGTTCATCGCGAGATCTGCAAGACATCCTACATCCTGACCAAGACCTTCAAGCAGGTCGCCTCGGAAGGCTTCTGTAGTCCTGCCGAAGCATCCCAAGATCAAGGCAAGGAAGGCCAGATGGAAAGTGGAACAGGTCTCGGTGAAGGCGAAGGCGCAGAAGATATCAGCAAGGATGTTGGAGATGATGAAGATCTAACTGAGTTGGCGCAACAAGAGAACAACAAAGAGGACGGGGATGATGAGATGGATGATTCCAAGGATGCCGTCAACATGGATCAGGAAGAGTTGGAAGGTGATGCCGAGGATCGCAAGGACGATGAGGAGGAGAACGACGACAGTGCCGACGAAGGAGATGACGATATCGACGAAGAGACCGGAAGCGTTGATGACCTTGACACAGGTGCTGTGGACGAAAAGCTCTGGGACGGTGGTAACGATGAGCAGCAGAAGGATACCGAAAACGAAGAAGGAAAGGGCCAATCAGAGGCCGAACAACAAGCTGCTGCCCAGGAAGAGAAGGGTGACAAAGATGGCGAAAAGAGCGAGGAAAAGCAAAAGGAGGGAGAAGAAGAGGAAGAAGAAGAAACAGAAGATGAAGAGGCCCCCGAAGACGAGGGCGAGGCAGTTGGCCGTGAGGAAATGGATGTCACCGATCCTCAAGCAAAGGAAGAAGAAACACTTGACCTTCCTGAGGAAATGCAACTTGATGATGGTGAAGGCAAGGACGACAATGGAGAGGATGATGATGATATGGATGATCTTGACGATGATTTCGGTCCTGCCCCCGAAGAAGAAGGGAAGGTCGAAGACGCGGATGATCATGCCGGTGAAGAAGACGCCGAGGCAGCCCCAGAGGATCAAGTGCCAGGCGAGGAAGATGAAGAAATGGCCGATGATGCGGAGGAAACCAATGAAGGTGAAGCCGGAGAAGAGGAGGAAGAGGAAGCTGGCGGAGAAGATCCCGAGGAGCCTGAACAAGACGACTTCCTCGCACAGCGTGATGAGGATGATGCCGCAGGTGACAACGTCGCTCCTAGCGAAGCTGTCACTGGCGGGCTCGGAGCCGAGCAAGACCAAAATGAAGAAAAGGGTGCCTCGGGTGACGCTCAGCAGGAGAGCGGCTCGACTGATCCCAGTGCCAATGTCGACCAACAGACAGGTGCTGCCAAGGATAGCGAAGAGAGCCAGCCCAGCCGAGACGCTGCGGGCGGCGAAGATCAAGGGCAAGATGAACCTCAGATGCAGGCATTCAAGAAGCTCGGTGATATCCTCGAGCAATGGCACAGACGACAAAAGGAGATCCTCAACCCGTCCCAACAGGAAGAGGAATCTCAGGCTATGCCCGAAGACACCGATATGGCCGACGCAGACTTCGAGCACCTAAAGGATGACGAAGATGCCGCAGACACCCAGGCCCTTGGACAGGCAAATGACGATCAAACGCAAGCCCTCGACCAAAGCAAGGGTGTGGAGTCTGACATCAAGCCTGGTGAGAACGATGTTCTCCCAGACGTGTCAGACGAGCAGCAAGACGCCGTGGACAACCAGCTTGAGGATGAGATGCAGATAGACCGTGAGACCGTTCCTGCCGATGGCGAGTCCGCGGGCGCCTTCATTCCTGGCGGTCAATCCTCCCACGATCGCGCAGACGGAGCACAGGGCACCGAAGAAGTGGACGAGGAGCTCGACGAAGTTGACACGCAACTCGCAGCGATCCACCTCTCCTCTTCGCTCCCCCATTGACCCCACAAGACGAAGCCCGCCGCCTCTGGTCGCACTACGAGTCCGCCACAAATGATCTCTCCCTCTCCCTGACCGAACAACTCCGTCTCATCCTCGCCCCCACAATGGCCACCAAGCTCCGCGGTGACTTCCGCACCGGAAAGAGGCTGAACATCAAGCGTATCATCCCCTACATCGCCTCCCAGTACAAGCGCGACAAGATCTGGATGCGCCGCTCTATCCCTTCGAAGCGTAACTACCAGATCATGCTGGCTGTCGACGACAGCAAGTCCATGCTGGAAAGTGGCAGTGGCCAGCTCGCCTTCGAGACCCTCGCCCTTGTTGCGAAGAGTCTGAGCATGCTGGAAGCCGGCGACCTGTGTGTCCTCGGCTTCGGTAACGAAGACCATGTTCGCGTCGCTCATGAGTTCGGAAAGCCCTTCTCCTCCGAGGCCGGCTCCCAGGTCTTCCAGCACTTCAGCTACCAGCAAACCGGTACCAATGTACGCAAGCTGATTGCCGATTCTATCGCTCTCTTCCGCGAGGCTCGCTGGAAGCGCTCGCCTGGCTCTGGCTCTGCCGATCTTTGGCAGCTTCAGTTGATTATCTCTGATGGTATCTGTGAAGACCATGATACTATTCGCCGTCTTATTAGACAGGCACTTGAGGAGCGCATCATGGTTGTCTTTATTATTGTCGATGCTGTTAAGGGTAGCTCTATCCTTGACCTGTCGCAGGCCAGCTTCGAGGCCGATCCTGGTTCTGGTGGTGAGATGAAGCTTAAGATGAAGCGTTACCTCGAGGACTTCCCCTTCCCTTACTACCTCGTTGTTCGTGATGTGAGGGAGTTGCCCTCTGTTTTGGCTACTGCACTCAAGCAGTGGTTCGCCGAAGTTGTGGATGTGTCGTCTTGATACTCCCAACAATTAAAAGGAGTTGGAATGGTCTATTTGGAGTTATTTTGTCACATTTTACGGCGTTGGGATGTTTTCCTTTTTTGTACATGATAGATTTTAAGAGACGTGATACATACATACATATCAGTTGAATGTACATTCTTCATATACTCAAATTCGCCTATGTCATTCCTACAAAATGGTATGGTATGGTATCTCAATGCTAATGCGCTTGACAAAAATTCCCCCCGAATGGCCTTACGTATGTTAAAACTACCATCCGTACTTGGATCCAGCTTCCTTCTTGTTTCTCCGACCTGTTGCAAAGCTTTCCTCCAATGCCTCCTTCTGAGAGCTTGCAACATTGAGCAATTGCTGGAGAGTATGCTTGCCCGGCGCAATAGAGCGCACAGGGTTGTGTTGTGTTCCGGCCAGCTCTCCTTGCGCCAGAACATGGTTTGACGCGTACTCCTCGTCTGTGTTGAAGGTACGGACCTGTGACTGGGACGGTATGGCATTCCGACCGAAGAGCTGGCGTCTTTCGGCTTTGGACAAGTTCAGATCGTTGGCAATGCTGTCCAAGGATGATGTAGGATTGGTTGATACTGTTGCTGTTGAATGCCCAACGGCAATTGGTGCGGGTTCGGCGAGTACTGGATCAGCTGCCGATACTTCTTCGCCTTCGGCGTTGTATACCAGTGGCTGGTAGGTGGCTGATGGTCCAGGTGCCGGGGCTGGCTGGGAAGTGGCCTCATCGGTGGATAGAGAGAAGAGACTGACTTTGGGTTTTGGTGGCGGTGGCGCAGGTGCAGGGGTAGGGGCTTGCTGTAGAGGTTGAGCAGACTTCGACGCTGCTGCTGATGAGGAGGGAGTTGGTTGTTCAGCAATCTTGGTTGTCTTTCTCTTCTTTTGAGGTCGTCCGACGGACAACGGCCGGAACATCATCGGATTTCCTTGCAATTTGACCTCCGCTGGGGTTTTCACTGTCTCCGCCAATGCATCTGGTGCAGTGTCGGGGTTTGAATTGCTGGGTGCAGATGTGGTGTCCTCCGCATCTCCCGCTATATTTTCGAATGCGTAATCATTCTTCATCTCCGCATCTGCTGTGCGATCAAATCCAGGGCCTGCTCCTGTCTTGAGACTAAACGCTTTTCGTGTTGTCGCCACTGGTGCTTTCTTTTCGAGTGTTCGTTTCGGCGCTGGAAGGAAAGCGTTGAATCCCGACAGGCCTCCTCCTCCACCTAACCGAGCCTTTTTGCGCGGACCATCTTCGGTGTCATCGCCGGATGGGTGCTCAGGTTTGATTTCTGGAATTGCGACGCGGATCTTGCCCGAGTCGCTGCGCTCGACATGAAACCCAGTTTTGGAGCCGAGTGTCTTTGCCTTGCTAATCTGGGGCGCAGGTGCGGGTGTAGTATCTGGCTCAGCGTCTGAGCCTTCAGAGTCAGTGTAGCTTACTAGCGCCATGGTGGGAAGAGTTACGTTGGGGTTGTTGTTGTTTCCTTGGGATTTGAGCGATCGGAGTTGGCGACAAGTTAAATTATCTTCTGCCTGTCCCCTCAGGCATCAATATATTACATAAGCACATCATCCGAATCTCGATTCGGAGAATGTGGAAAAGGAAAAAAGAGACATTACAGAGTGGACTAGGGGACGGGATGGAATGGACCAAAGAGAAAATATCTCCGAAAACACATAAAACACATAAAACAGCATTTCGACAGTGAAACACCAAGGGATGATCGCATCACTTTGTAACGTCATCGCATCCGGGTTCTCCGCTATGGAGATTAATAGGATCATACATTGGGCAATGGTGTTCATAGACATTTATAGTTAGAGAATTGAGTCATGATTGATAGATTGATATCTGAGATATGTCGTAGTTGAGGGATTGTATATGTAGATCAGTCAAAATCCGAGTAATTCGAAGGAATATAGGAATACTAATAATGATATAAGATCAGATTAGTAGTGTAATAGAGTAATAGAGTAATAGTAGAGACTAAAATCAACCCAACGGATCAACATAATAGACTTCTAAGTAGATAGATAAGCTTAATAGAGGTTGTTTAAGATGTTAATAGAATGGAAGTCCAATGTCAAATGCATAATGAAAGATCAATGCGTCATTCTGCCCGCTGCCCCTCCCCACTTAATCCGGACCTCCCATTCCAGCTTTCTTTCCACCCTTCACCACCCGACCCCCCCAATGGCCCCAAAGCCTGTCTAATCTTCTCTCCATGCCGAGTCTAGGAGGTTTACTCAAGAAGAGGCGAACGAAGGATTCGCAAGATCTAGGGAAACCAGATTCTCAGAACCACGACGGTTCAGGCGCATCCATGCAACCCGCTTCACACGCTTCGCCCCAGCATACGGGTACGGCTACAGGTACACACGAAAATGCCGCCAGTATCGATCACATTATAAATCAGGAGCAGTCGAAGCAGGAGCGTGTAACAAAGGGGAAGTACTCTCAGGAGGACTTTGAGCTTCAGCGCACTTTGGGGACGGGGAGCTTCGGCCGTGTCCACCTGGTGCAATCTAACCACAATCATCGCTTCTATGCGATGAAAGTGTTAAAGAAGGCCCAGGTGGTCAAGATGAAACAAATTGAGCACACAAATGACGAGCGCCGCATGCTAAACCGGGTCCGCCATCCATTCCTTGTTACATTGTGGGGAACTTGGCAGGATGCCCGAAACCTCTATATGGTCATGGACTTTGTGGAGGGAGGTGAATTGTTCAGCCTCCTACGCAAGTCACAAGTGAGTGACCCATGACCACTTCCTTCGGTCTTGTGTGTGTGTGAAACAAAGAACTCATCTGTCATTAGCGATTCCCGAACCCAGTGGCCAAATTCTATGCCGCGGAGGTTACCCTAGCGTTGGAGTATTTACACGCACATCAAATCATCTATCGTGATTTGAAGCCAGAAAATCTTCTTTTGGACCGGCACGGTCACCTGAAGATCACGGATTTTGGATTTGCTAAAGATGTGCCGGATATTACTTGGACACTTTGTGGTACCCCCGACTACCTAGCACCCGAGGTTGTCTCTTCCAAGGGATACAACAAATCAGTTGACTGGTAAGCTTGCTTTCAATGCTTCCGTCGAATTTTGTTCTAACTGTCCCAAGGTGGTCATTGGGAATCTTAATCTTTGAAATGCTGTGTGGATTCACTCCTTTCTGGGACAGTGGATCCCCAGTCAAGATTTATGAGAATATCTTGCGCGGTAAAGTCAAGTATCCTCCATACTTGCACTCCGACGCAGTCGATCTGCTCTCTCAGTTGATCACATCCGACCTCACCAAGCGCCTCGGCAACTTGCACGGCGGCCCGGGTGATGTCAAGAACCATGCTTGGTTCGCCGAGGTCACTTGGGACCGACTAGCTCGTAAGGATATTGACGCGCCATATATCCCACCCATTCGCGGTGGACAAGGCGACGCAAGCCAATACGACAAGTACCCGGAAGAGACAGAGCACTATGGCCAGGAAGGAGAAGATCCGTATGTACTTGTCTCCACGCCATCCGCACACCTGACTAACTCGTTCCAGATATGGTCACCTTTTCCCCGACTTCTAAGGTGCTTGTATGATTTTATGACGCGACGAAAAGTCCTCTGGGGGAGGGCCGGAACTGATTGACCCCGGGAGGAGTCGTGAAAACCAGGCGCCATTATATGAAAACCATATTTCTTCTATATGCACATCATTTTTCTTAGCAATTACAATCGAATTTTTGTGTTTTTTTTTTTTCTCAATTGCCTGCTCGATGTACAAATGGATTCGCCGTGAACCCTGTTCCATTCCCAATCTCTCCAACCACTGGGGCACAAAAAGCCACGCCCATATTATACACGGGCTACCAGGCCGCTTCTATCGTACAGTAGTTCATTCACAGAGGTCTGTGTCTCTTTTGCTTCTTGTTTCGTCCTTCATCTTCCGATTTGACGATGGATCAGATTTAGCCCAGGATTCCGCTGCCGCCCTCGGGCATGCCGGTAGCCATGGAGGCAATGGCAGCAGCGTCCTGACCACCCATACGCTTGGTCTCCGCGCCGACACGGGCAATGTAGGTCTTGCTTGTGGTGTTCCACATGGCGATGTACTTCTCCATGCAGCTAGACAAGCAGGTGTTCTCCTTGGCCGAGAGCGAGGTTCCGGGGGTGGGAACACAGGCCTTGAAGCAGTGCTTGTTGATTTTCTGAGGTTGTTGTCAGTTCGTTGCCGGATTTGGATATCAAGGGTGGTGACGTACTCCGATCAGGGAGCGGGCGTTCGACATGGCTGCCTCCTGCTGGAGCTGGCGCATGACAGCTGCCTTGATCTCCTCGGAGGTCTGAATGGGAGCGGCGGAGCCGGAACCGAAAAGCGACGACATTATGAAGGAGTGAGATGGGTGGAAAAGGTGTAAATGAGATGGAGTTGAATTGGATCGAATCGAAGAAAGTCGGCGGACTTCAGGATCTGAGGTGCATAGGTGTGGCTGGTGTATTTGCTGCGCCACATCCGATGTGGACACCTTAGCATAACAAGCTGTATACTTCACCTCCTTGTCTCCGCGCCTCAAGAACTTCGTCTATTCACTCTTTGCTGTCGCTTTTACTCGACTTTTTTTACGGCTTCTTTTCTTCTCTCCTACTCGCTGGGTTTTCGGGTCCTGGTGACACCGTGCCCCGTTCATCCCACCTCCAGTCTATCCTTGAAACATTCTGGGTCCCCCTCCATTGAGCCCTAATACAATTCAACAATGCGTCTCCCGTCTATTTCGTCACTTCTCTGCTTCGCGGGCCTGGTCGCCTTACCCGTGAATGCCTATGACGACCCAAATATCAAAAGCATCCCCGTATGTGCTCAATGTTGACTCGATTCCAAGCCGAGGTACTGACTTTGGACGTCTGTTAGCTTCGCACCCACAGCCTCTCTCCGGTATGATTATATCCTGAGCCCAACTTGTCTGCGACTTCCGAAAACAGACTACGCATAGCTCGTGCTCCGAGGAGGAATATCAGTATTGACCACCATTAACAGCCATACCTCGATTCGGATTTCCAAAGCCGCTGGTTCGACTTCGGAGGAGATACAGTAATCCGCGCTGACAAGTAAGGATACTCTGATGTTCGGGTAGAATTTCTCATGACCGCCAATGCTGATTTTCGTCTTTATATTCAGATACGTCCGCCTCACGGCTGACCGGCCATCGCAGCAAGGATGGATCTCTTCCCGCGTGCCTCTGACCGCAACCAATTGGCAGGTAAATACAAACACGCCGCAAATCAAATTGCGCGCCAAAAGCTCACGTATATCCCTACTAGATTGAGCTCGAGTTCGAGATTCACGGCTCCGGCAACTTGCATGGTGATGGATTTGCGCTCTGGCTCACCAAGGAGCGTGCCACGCAGGGTCCTGTCTTCGGTTCGACGGATAGATTCGAGGGTCTTGGTATTTTCTTCGATACCTATAAGAACAATCGCCCCGGTGTCTCGTTCCCCTACGTCATGGCCATGATGGGTGATGGGCAGACCACCTACGACCAGGCGCATGACGGCAAGGCGAACGAGCTAGCCGGTTGCTCTGTGAGTTAAATTGATTAACAGTTTTTTTTTCTTTCTTTCTCTTGGATATGCCTCTAACAGTCCACAGGCTCGTGGTCTCCGCAGCGCCCCCGTCCCCACCAAAGCCCGCCTAACCTACTTCCAGGACAAGTCTTTGTCCCTGGAGCTGCAGTACAAGGCCGAAGACACATGGACCGAGTGCTTCAGTCTTTCCGCTGAGGATTCCAACATCGCCATTCCCTCCGTCGCATACTTGGGTCTCTCTGCCGAGACCGGCGAGCTGAGCGACAACCACGACATCGTCTCCCTCAAGGCTGAGAACCTATACTCCCTTAACCGTAGCAATAACAACAAGGGCAAGACCACGGAAGACCGGTCCAAGGGCCGTGCTCGTCCCTCCTCCAAGCCTGTCAAGGAGAAGAGTAGCTGGTCTTGGTTCCTCTTCAAGACCGTTCTGTTCTTCGCCGTTATTGTCGGTGGTTACTTTGGCTGGACGATCTACCGGACCAAGGCCCGGTCATCGCGTTTCTAAATTTACGTTGCATGGATATTTGGCAAGGCACGGAATTTAAGCCTTTCTTCTGTGCGATTCAAGTTGGTCTTTGGGTTTGCCCCAGTTTCTTTCTGTCTGACGAAAAGGATCTTGCATACATAGCCCGTTTGAAGCTCTTCTGTTTATTCTGATCTACAATAGTTCTTGTTTTCTTTTCTGTTCATCCTTGAAATGAATTAAAGTCATGATCATTCAACAGAAAAAGCTCGATAGTATGCAGCGTGCCGCTCGGGGTATCAATAGTACAAGTAAAAAATCAAGACGCCACCTCGTCACTTCTGCCGTTCTCTCTCCTCATTCCACAAGCGGTCCACAATCTGGAAAACCTCCGTGACACTGCGCATCACAACATCATCAATCCCCAACGCACCATACCGATGCTGAATCTTATCAGGATGCCATCGAATGCGCTCCGTCTTAAGCGTACCCATTAACTCCGCCGGCGCCGGAGCATGCCGCATAAACTCCTCAACAGCCGTCGGTCGAACATCAACCCTCTTCCCAGAGCGAACAGGCCAGAAGATCAAATTGCGCAGCGACTTGGTAGTAGACTCCCCCGCAGCCTTCCCGATAGTCTCCCAGCTCTCCAAATACTCAGCCCAAGGCGCTCCCCACACATCTTTAGCTTTCTTGCGCTCCGCGCCTCGTCGTAGACTTTCATCCATTGCGCGCTCAAACGCCTCCCTCTCAAACTGCGCATTCCGCTGAGTCTCCTCCTTCCTTCTCTGCTGTCGCTCAGCACGCAGACGCTCCTGTTCCGCAAGCATGCCTTCCCGCGTCCGCTCCCACATCCGTCGACGGACGTAATCAACGTATTCTTCCTCGGTCATTCCCTCCAGCTCGCCCTCCGGTTCTCGTTGGACATCCGGCACCCGGTAATTGTGGATTGGCTGGCCGTACACGGATTCCCAGTACGCTGCGCCTTCGTCGTCGCCCATGGCGTCGAAGAGTGATTCTCGGAATGCGTCTCTGTTTGAACTGAAGGGATATCCACCTGTCGGGTCGGGAAACTCGGGTTTCTTCTTCTCCTCGCGATGGCGCCGCTTGGAGGATTCGCGGTCTGGTGTCCGTGATCTATGACGGCGGTGGGTTCGTTTCCGATGGGGGCGACTGCCATCTTTGAAGCGCAATGGCCGGATGTGACTTGCGTTGGGGTCGTGGTATTCTTTGGAATCCTCCGCAGGTTTGGTGGGTTGAGGGTGCTCTGCGGGACGGGATGTTTTAGGCCCCTCAGTCGGTGTGGGGTTTGGGTATTCCATTGTGAATATACTTCAGTTGGAAAAGAGGCTCCAGTCGGCGAATCTCATTGTTTGGGAGTTGAGTAAAGCAATCAGATGAATGTTTAGGGAGTTGAGTAGAGTATCGGGCGGAGCTCCGGTCTGGAAAGCGCGGAGCGGAGATAACGTGCCTTAATCAGCTTATCTCCACATGACTAAGGTTTCCTAGGGTACTAACTAAAATGGGTTAGTCTTTTGTATTACATACTAGTCTTCCTCCGCCCCACCCACTTTACCCTATCAAAAATTCCGCTCCGTCTTTTCTCAAATCCCCCATTATAGATGGTTGTTGATGCTGAGTGCCTTATTCTGCACCGCTTTTTACACCGCTCTATACAGTGCATGGTAAATTTATTGATACTACAGCTGTCAAAAATGAAGCTTCTCACCTCCATACAAATAAATACTAGTATCTCCATGTTTTCTGGCGGTCGCAGGTGCTGGAAAATGAAGCTTTTCGCCTCCATACAAATAAATACTAGTATCTCCATGTTTTCTGGCGGTCGCAGGTGCTGGAAAATGAAGCTTTTCGCCTCCATACAAATAAATACTAGTATCTCCATGTTTTCTGGCGGTCGCAGGTGCTGGAAAATGAAGCTTTTCGCCTCCATACAAATAAATACTAGTATCTCCATGTTTTCTGGCGGTCGCAAGTCCAAAAATGAAGCTTTTCACCGGGTTCTGCCAGCTAGATATCCACTAATAAAAGCTAGCCGTGCCAAGCACCAACACCAGATAGCCATTTTTCACTAGATAGCCAAATTCCAATTTTATGTATCTTTTGTATGACTTTCCCATACAAAAGGTACCTAGACACCCCGTAAACATAACATGCATTTTCTCAGCACTCGAACTAGCTAAAGTAATAGAAAGTGTACGAATATATATTAAAAGTCTAGCTTAATTAGTTGAATGGTAGTAATTATAAATTCTTAGTATCTAATATAAAATTTTAACCTAACAACCTGACAATCTGACAAACCTGACAAACCTGGCAAACCTGCCAAACCTGCCAAACCTGCCAAACCCCGTGATTCCAGTGCTCCAATACTAAAAGAGTGCAGCTATACCTTTTAGCACACCACGTAGACCACCAACTCCAAATCCGACAAACCTGACAAACCTGACAACCTGACCACTAATCGTGGCACGGCCCACCAACACTTACCAGGTGTTGGTGGGCCCCACCGGATAGCAAATTCCCAGCGGATAACAAATTTCCAAATTAAGTATCTTTTGTATGGCAACTTCATACAAAGGGTACATAAACACGATATAGTCATAACCCCAATTTTCTCAACCCTCAAAATAGTTGGGAAAAATATAGGAAGATATACATAGTGTAAATAAGGCCTCAATTACTTAGTGATAATTCTAGTAAATTTTATAATGCATGTGTGGAGTAAGAGAATGGTTCATCTTTTACATACAAATTCTTATGTATGGTGATTTCTGAAATGTCTCCTACACTTCCATACTATATATTTAGAATTAATTATAGTAGTAGATCCGTTAAGCCCGATTTATTTTAATAACCTGTCTATTTAATTTTTTTTAAGCTAGTCTGCTCGTTTAGAGAGTTGAGGTTATAACTATATCGCGTTTATGTACCTTTTGTATGGAGTTGCCATATAAAGGATACTTCATTGGAAATTTGCTATCCCGCTGGGAATTTGCTATCCGGTGGGGCCCACCACCACCTACCTGATCTGCGGTCACGGGGGGTTCCGAGCTTCTTCCTTCTTTACCCTCCCCCCTCCACAACACCGGGTAGGTGGTGGTGGGCCGTGCCACGATTACTGCGCCGACTTACTATGACGAACAGGTCTACAAGCTTAGTAATCGATTATGACAAAGCAACGATGATGATAAGAACGATAACGTATAACGTCAGTCGTGACACTTACCTATACTTCTATTACCTTTAAGCATATATATTCCTTCCGTTATATCCGGCTTCTTAGCTGTATAGTCCGGGCCTATCTATTATTTAGCGACGGTACGCTATATAGGGAGACGGTATAAATATCCTTAATATTAGAGGGTAGTGTTACGAGTCAGCCTATCCTATATATATGAGAGTGCGGTTCCAGGAAGTGTCCTGGAATTCTGGTCTTTTGCTCCTAGCGCAGCGGGTGGCTTGTGACAGGTAGAAGAGCAATTGGCTAATCTATGAAATTTCCACTATAGGAAGACTCAAGAGGCTTATATTATCTCTAGGTCCATTGAAAATTCAACATATATTCTTCCTAAAGTATAGCAAGGGATGGGGCCGCGTAAACCTTGTATGTATATAAATACGTAACTATAAAATACTTTTCTATGTATAATGTAAATCGTACATTTAGAAGGGAGAGATTTTTTTTTTCTTTTGCAAATAAATCATTATAAGGCTAAGTTACTCCGTACAGGAAGGTGAAATTGTAAAATTCCCAGCGCGGTGGTCCATCGGCAGACTTTCCAGCCAGGCGAGGGTCTTTCTGTGGTCTAAAACCACAGAGCCATCAGTTTCCAGGGGCAGGTCAAGCTTGTGGTCATTGTGTCTATCAATCGAAAGATCCGTTAGATAAAGTTTGAGACTTGTTGTTTTGGATCCAGTGCTGCATCTGCGTTCAACTTTCGATACGCATCCGAGGCCCCTACTTCGACCGTGATGTGATTGGCCATTCATTATCGCGTCCTGGAACGGGTTGCATAATGGAAAACGACTCGTCGGTCTCCTTTAAAGAGAACATGCCTTGGATAGTTTTAGACCCTACCGGGTAGATCGACTGAGGCAGTCCTATATCGCGCACCGCATGCATCACTGCGCAATTTAGGCCGCGTGAGGCTGTTTGATGAGCACCAGTCACGAGCTTTATGATCATAGATCGAGTGTCCTGGTTAAACCTCTATTGAGTAGATCTCAAAGAAAGCTTTTCCGCAGTGGACGGTGGAACATTCCTGAAATGTAGGTATTTCACCACCTCGATAGGAATTTTTTTCTGCTGTTCTATGATCCTTCGAATAGCGCTGACCGGACCCGATGGCTTCGAATGTGTCAGCGGGTAGTGCCTCGAAGCACTCGACGTCGGGGGAGTCCGAGTAATTTGACATGACTGAATCTCTGGCCCCGGCAGGAGTTGAGGTGAGGTTCTCTGACTTTGACGTTAACGTCAGATTTAGAAAATCCTGAAGAAAACCACTCTCCTTTGCCTATACAAACCGGGTATTGTGGAATAACTGTAGGATCTCCTGCTGCAGCTTCTTGTCGGCGGCTGCGAAGCGCGTTAGGTGCGTTTCGGTCTCCTCCCCCCCCTAGTCGGTCATAAGGACAGACGTTAGCGCACCTCGTAGATATGGCATAGGTCGCGTGCCGAATGACTGTCACTGGGTTCATACCGAGGACGTGGCGTTGGAGTTGGGCGGATTCGGCGAGGGCTCGTCCACATGCTCGTATATTGATCATCTCGGAGTCTCAGCTTGACAAAATAGCCTATATAAGATGAAATTGATCATGATGGGTAATATGAATGGATTCAGAAGTAACTAAGAAACGATCTGAACTCTGTCGTGCCTCTCTGGGTCGGGCTCACGACAAAACAGACACAAAACTCCAAGAGAAAGAGAATAAAGACCAATTGACCATAGACCAAACCAAACGAGGGCCCGGGGGTGAGGGAGCATGGGTATATTGATAGAAACCCCCCCCGCCGAAAGACAAGAATCAACAGAAAACAACACCAACCAATCCAAAGCCAAAGACAAAGACCAAACCGCAGTACATCTATGTGTACTGTCTGAGCAGCAGGCCTGTGCGAGGAAGAGGGTGAGCGAATCCACCATCCCGGCCGGTTCCGGGGTAGGTGATTGGAATAAGGAAACAACATGAGTACATTGAGCCGACGGCGAGGTAAAATGGAAGGCGGAGGCCCCGTGTGCCCCCGTGGTGCCATGAACTCAACCCGAGTTCTGGAATTTGGCTTCTGGATGTAGGGCTTTCCCTCCGAACCCAGAAGTTCGGCCTGCGGGCTGTCGCAAATGATTGCTAGGCGAGGGTGGGCTTCTCGTCATTCACAGTATCGTTATTGTTTTGGAGGGGGGGTGGTAGTGGTGCCATCGGTGGTGGTGGTGGTTCCTAGAGAGACATTCTTGGTTAGTATTGGTGACACTCCCACAAGCGCTTCTCGTGTTACTCACTCTTCTTCTTCTCTTCCAAATATTCCGCGCTCATTATCATTTGGGGGTTGTTTAACCGCACCTGCAGTGCAGTTACTCACCCTTCCAGAACCTCCACCACGGAGGTCTCTGTGCCCTCTTCTCCTCCTCGTATTCTGCCCTGATAATCATCTGTGGGTCCTTTAACCGGACCTGGAGGGCGTGGAACCTACGCATATATCTATTAGAACGATGGATACAGCAAGAGAGGGCAAATCAGACTCCAGGGTATACATACCAGACAATCCAGACAACAGTCCCCAAAACCAAACCCAGCGCCAACATCCCAAGGAGGCCACCGATTAATTGGCCTTTCCAGGCCTTTGGGTCGGGACAGATGGGACAAACAAGACAAGTTCCATTTGATGCCATTTTGATGATCATTTGCGAGTCTTTTAGTCGGACCTGCAGCGCGTGGAACCTGCGTATATATCTATTAGAACGATGGATATAGCAAGAGAGGGCAACTCAGAGTATACATACCGGATAATCCACACCATAGTCCACAAACCCATCCCAAGGAGGCCATCGATTAATTGGCCTTTCCAGGCCTTTGGGTCGGGACAGGCGGAGCAAACAGGACAAGTTCTGTTGGATGCCATTTTGATGTGGTTTATGAGATAGTTTAAGATTTGGAGGCCTGGGGGGGGGATGGCTTACTTATATACCCAGAGGCACGCTCTTTCCTTCAGATCATTAGCTGTAACTTCGCATAACTACCTCCTGCCAAAAGAAATCTATAAAAACGGAAACAACAGTCTATAAAGATTCAATTCAGATTCACTTCAAATTCACTTCAAATTCAATTCACTTTAGAAGTCCCAATACCTACATAATACATCGTGTGGGAGGTTATTCAATATGAAGGATGACACTTGGACGGGGAATATTGTAGTCAATGACAATGGCTTGTCATACGGAGTAGCTTTGTTTGCAATGGCCTATTTGCACACGGTACAATCACCTTTATGCATTATCGCTGCCCTCAATGTTGTATAGGAAAGCCGGAAATATACCTCCACATACATACATGTACCGGATAACGGTCAAATCATCAAGACCCTCCAGAAACATTCTAGATCCGCATCCTAGCATACCCATACCGACACCCATCATGAAGTCTCAGGTCCGTATTCCCATCCGTAGCATCATACAGCCCATTATTAATGCCATCGACGTCTAAAGCGACTTCGTATCTTTTGAGCCCAACCAGCGGACGACGTAATCTAACTGGCTTTCCTGTCTCGTCTATTCTTATCCGCTCGGTGCAGATCGATGGGTGTATGGCGATCAGTAGTCCGCATGTTATAGCGAACCCGATCCAGAGACATGCTTTGCCGACTATTGGGAGGTAGTCGGTTATCCAGGCAAAAGTGAATGATCCGATGAAGGTGTATGAGTAGAAGAATAGTTTGTAGTATGGGATTGTGTAGTATATGTTGTATGGCTTTCGGGGGCGCTCGTCGTGAGATTTGTTAGGGAGTAGGCGGGTGTTGTCTGACATATTTTGATCAAAATATCTTTGGGGAGATAGACGGGGGAATGTCAATAGACTAAGAGGGAGGAAAGAGAAGACCAAGTTAAGAAACGTCCTTGGGGGGCGGAGCAACGATCAGCAAACAACGGGCCGTTTTCACTACACAATTTTCCGGTGAAAGGGGGCCAGACTATATTGTCATCAGGCAGTCCATCACATCTTCATATGATCCTGTGCTAAATAGAAAAATCTATAGCAGACACGCTATAAACTATGTAGGCTTTATCAGGTATTTGCTCCTATCTAGATGATCATCTTATTGGCGCTTCAGGTAATGCTGGTTAAATTCCGTGGGCTTCCTTAATCCGCAAACCAACAGTATATGGAAAATGTATGGGCAACCGCTGGGATACAGATTGGGGGGGGATGCAAAGATAACTTATAAAAGGTCCCTCGTCCCTCGTCTCTTCAAATGCATAGCAATATCATCCTCTCTATCCTCTATTTTAGCGGCCATAATTAATAAGCAAAATGCATCCATAAGCGATCTATAAAAAGTCCAGTATTTAATATAACGATCCTGATCTTTAACAGATGTTAGTGGTTTATTTGTCTCCACTAGCTTAGGCATTCCAAGAGTATTCGGAGAAGCAAAGACCTGCGCAACATCTTCATCATCTGTTCATTGTTCCGAAGGGCCATCATTGAATACATGGAAGGAGTCCTAGTTGGATATTTGCCAATTCAATAGCCAAAATCATAAACTAACAACTAAAGCGTCTTCATTATCAAAGGACGTATTTACATTCCTTTCCCGTGATAGCTTGCGATCCAATAGCTTCCTCGTTATAGTAGAAATTGACATCTTCCATTCAGATGTAGACAAACAGACATGAGTTGTTGTCTTGGAATGCGTGATAGTATGTCTATTGAGCTAATAGGGGACCTACTACATCCTAAGATAGTAAGATAGGAGCCCTGTTTTAAAAAGATTACCCTCCCTAGTCAGAATCCTGTCAATGTATATATTCAAACTAGTAATTTTGACGTTTTATTTCATCCAAATACACTTACAATTGGCGTAGATGGTCTACTCCTGACTCCTAGGGGATAGGCGAATATGGTAGTTAAGGAGCCCCGAGGAGAGGCGATACATCTACATATACTAAATAGATATCGTATTTAAGTAGTCAAGCAACCCATTATTTTTAGCAAATAATTCTCCAGCAAAGTAGAGCGGGACATTTTCAACCTTTCTTGTGAGTGAAACCCTTTTTAAAAGCTCGCTGCCACCGGGACATCTGAGACTCTGATTTCACCTGGGGCTCTGGTTCCAAAGGGCAAAAAAAGCAATTTGCTAAATGTTTAGTATGAGCCGAACGATCTTGTTTCAAAAGAGTTTCAAAATCCTTGCTCATCTCCTGCTTTGTTTTCTCTGGGAGCTCAAAGCCTCGAAAGCTAATGCAACATCCGCACTCTACAGTGCAATGGCCTCTGCCTTTTTTCCTTGTAGATAGATGCCTCTGTTCACAGCATCCACATTTCCGGCTACAACATCCACCTCGGTCAGAACAATCCTGGACCATTTCTTCACGCATAAACCATTTATCATCACGCCTCAAGCTATCATACATCTCTTTGGCCCCCAAGTGAAACCTGCACTCTGCTAGGTAAAGGGCGTACTCCCTTCTTGGATATTGCGCTTGAGTCTCTTTAAGCTGATTATTTGCGTTTTCAAATTCGGTCGTATCAGTGTTCTCATCAGACGTGATAGCTATAGCCTTTTGTAAGGCCGTAACCTTGCTGTGTAACTGTTCCTCACGCTGCGTTAGTTCACGTAGAGCGTGCTCGGCAAGAAATAACTCGATGAGCTTGGAGTCAAGGACATAGATTGACCCGCATCTCAGGCAGTCTGTATGATGGCTGTCAAAGACAAAGGTTTCGTGCGCACGCCTATTGATGAACCCCATGATCTTATCGTGTGGGCAGAAAGCCTAGAAGGTTAGTATAAATACCAGGTAGGAAAGGTTCAGTGGTGAGTACCTCTGTGATAATATGAAATCTCGATAGAATAGGTAAATGATATTAAAGAAGAAGGAATGGGAGACGAGATACACCCTTCGACACTAACCCAAAATAGATTAGTGGACGTTTGAATGTGGATGTAGTGTCTAATTATGACGGAATTAGATATCAGAACCGAAGACCTCATATATCTCATGCACCACGAAGGAAGGAGATATCGAAGAGGATAACTTCAGGAATTACATGAAGGATGAAAACGACAGACAAAGAAGGCAGGAGTACGGAAGGTATAGCGCTCAGGGTTATATGCACTTGTTTTATGCCTGATATCGATATTTATATATCCAATCTTCATCGACCATCCAAACAACTTACACTCCGTGCCGAGTACCAAACAACTGGCCAGGAAGAAGCAAACGATCTTGACATATGATAAGCATATGATAATTGTCGATCGTGACAAACTCGACGTGTAGTGGCGATGTTGCCCGACACTATGATGGGGGCCTATCGTGAGCTGCCCTTAGGAATTTTCATGAAATGCATTCCTATTCCTATTCCTAGGAGCCGGTCGATGATGTAGGTACGGATCGCCTTATGGAGGGCCTCAATATGGACCTTGTTCATACGGTCACTTCGGTTGATCTTGTAACGAGGGCCCTAGTCCGGGGCGGCGATGTGGATCTTGTTATCTTTGGTGATGACGAACCTAAGCCCCAGCAGGTCTTCTGGGCAGACGATGTCATCGGGGAGGAAGTCTGCTAGAACGTCGTTTATTGTGGCGAGGCTTCAAATCAACGTATGATATTGATTTAAGAAGAAAGAGAAAGGAAGAGGGGAGTATCATATAAGCAACACTGGAAGGCACCGCGGTTCTTTAATGCGACGGGGTAATAGTCAGCGACGATGTAGTTATGGCAAATATTGACAAGCTAGCTAGTATGCTCAATGATCGACGGTGATATGACCCTAAATAGGCTGCACCGAAGAGTCTTGCTACTGGTATTGAAGATCTATAACTGAAATCTTCTTGAGAGACGTCGCTGAGCTGATATGATGAGATTACCGGTCCAGTATCAATCAGAATGGCCAGGCTGATCTGCAACTGATCGTCATGATGGAAGGAAGCATGTCCTGATCGAGTTCTAAGGCTACCGAGGGCGGCAGCCGCCTTTCGACGGGGGTAGGTTATGAGGGCCTAGGAGAGAGGATATTACCAAGCTCATATTATTAAGCATGAGGCATATGGATCCTCAGAACATCTTACAATAAGAATGAACAAGTTCTTACCACTATCTGGGTATTCCATAACAATTGTTGAATAATGCCTGTACAACGCCATTACTAACCCTAAGTCCAAGCCCCTAGCCCAAAACGCAATTCCATGTCCGAAAGAGCAGATAATCAAATGCGATAATGTGCCATGTTCTTCTTGATCTCGTCCACGATCTCCACGGCCTCATTGGTACTCCTTGCTTCAAAGTCATAGCGCTTCTGCTCCGTGGCATCATTGCCGCGCACGATCATCACCCGGAAGCTCTTGGGGTGCCGTCGGCTGACCTTGGATCCGATCACATCGCTAAAGCTGATCGACCGGGTCTTACCACCGGACGCCGTTTTGCCCGTATCACCGGGCACGATATGCATGTAATCATTTTCGAACGTAAGGATCCGGTGGTTGGATGCTGTGAACGACATGGGTTGTTTGCGGAACACATGGTATCGGCGGTAATATCCGCCCAGATGGTCCTGTTTCTGAGAAGATGAGGGCAACATGCGCTGGGCGCCCTTCTTGGCCTCCTTCTTGCTCTTTTTGGACGTTGTCGGGTCGGCGGTTTCCACCATCAAAGGCGCGTTTGGTGATGAGCTGCCTGGTGAGGTGCCGAGTGCAAGGGGCCCGCCGCCGAAGCGACGACGCACCAGATCAAGTTCTGTGATGCTGCCCAATGCCTCCACTGTGCGGTCGAGTGGTGCAATCGTGTTCGACCCCATCACCTTTAAGAGGTAGTTGCCCTTATCCTGCCCCCATCGTTTACATACGGAGTCCAGGATCTCGGCTATGTAGCTGTCGGTCGATGTGTTGATGGTCATGACATGTGCGGAAGCCTCCATGTTGATAAAGCGAATCTTCAACGTCTTGGAAACACCGAGGCGGGGAGTGGCATGCGAGATCGGTACAACAGGGCGGTCAGCAGGAGTAAGAGTGCTGTGGTTGAGCGCAGACGAGAATGGCTGGCCTAGGATGGGGTTTGCTCGGGCTGGTGTGGTTTGAGGGGTCTTTTTCGCAGCGGGTTGAGTCCCCGGGGTTGCAAGATTTGCCGACTGATCGGCCTCTTCTGACCCAACGCTTGAACTAAACTGTGGATATAGGCGCTCATTCTCCTCAAACTCCAATTTCGATGCTTCAACCAGTGCGAATTCATCGTACGGCTTGCCCCTTGACCGTCCTCGGGACTTGGCAGATTGATTGTTGTTTGACGTGAAATCCGTCATTGGAAGAGTCCGCCCAAGCGCTGGGAAGTCATATTCGACTTCGCCATCATCGACCATCCGTAGCGTCCATCGGTTCACGGTCAAATTTTCACGACTAATTGCTGGTCCGCGAGCGTCCGCCGAGTATTTCCATAGCGCAAGACCAATCGTCTCAGCAACAGTCACCTGTGCGGGCTGTTCTGCAAGCTTGGACTCGCGTGTAAGTGGCAGATCCAACGGGTCCTCAGGGTCGCTTGAAAAAGGAACGTAGATCTTCAAATACAACGAGTCCTCTTGGCCACGCCCAGAGAGCACCACGAATTTATCCACTGGATTGCTCGGTGCTCGCTTCCGGGACGTAAGCTGGCTGGTTAACAAGCTGACCGGCTGTAACATGCTGATAGGCCGTGGCGGGGGAAGATCTTGTAATGCAGGAGCCGGAGTGCGATGCTTGCGCGGTGAATTGTTCTGTGGCCCTGTGCCAGACGGTAGCTTGTTCATCATAGCCATGGGCGAGGACAAATTCAAACCGCCCGCCACACCTGCCAGTAGCAAGGAGCCAGATCCCGCCGTATTGTCAAAGTCAGAGGAAATTGCAGACCCAACAGACTCGGCACCGGAGTCCTCGTCCTCATCCTCTTCGTGGAGTTCCCCGAGAGCCAGGCTCTCTGCACCTCGGCTGCCAGTTCGCTCACGCCGTCTGCGTGAATACTCGACAACCTGATCACTCGCGGAGAATTGAACTTGTCCTTGTTTGTAGCCTCTGGTATCGGTTTCGTTATCCGTGGACAGATCACTGCTAGTAGTTGTATCTCGACGGGGCCGTGGTTTTACTTGGCGGTATTGACTTGCAAGATTTTGTGTTGACGCAGATGTGATCATCACTTCTGGCCGTTCCCTCGTGTCCCCGGAACGTATTGGAGAGGAGTCGGCTCGATCTCGGCGGATGGGCATTTTGTCGAATTTGATCTGGTCAACAGCACTGTTCTTTGTCAGATAGGAACGAAGGATACCGCGCAATAATTCACCAACCTCCCAACGTTGTCTCCATCGTCGTCGCTGTCGTCACTCAGGTCGCTGCTATCGTCGTCCTCTGCTTCCGCTTGTCTCTGGACCTCTTGTTGCCTTTCCCGTCGAGTTTTCTTCTTTCCGCCACGTGCGTGATTCCGCCGCGCAGTCATGTCCGTATGGCTCTTGCCGGTCACCATACCACCATCATCCTCGCCATCTTCCAGGCCTAAACCTTGCAATTCGTGGCGATGGGGTTTTGCATCTCGTTCTGCTAGCCTGTAATATTCAGACGAAACGTTCGCCGTTGTTGGAATGGGTGGGGAGTAAGTGCGCTTCAGGTGGGAGGAACTGTGTGTGTTGGGGTACGCGGCGGCGGTTGACCAGCCCGCCGCACGGAAGCCAGGTGTATTCAGGACGGAATCATTGACGTTGATAAGTCGGTCCCCGATTCCATCTTTGATTGTCGAGAGATATGAGGAGCGTAATTGCCAGATCGTAAAGCTATATTCGGGTTAGTCCTTGGAGACCTTTCCGCGGCGATTTGAGGGGGCGGTCTGCAATTCCAGACGCGACGTACTCTTCATTGTGAAGAAGAGACATATTCTCGGCTTTCACGAGGACATATGTCTTGTCTGTAGTAACCCAGGAGTGTGCTATGTAATGGCGATCGAGGTCTGGATGATCACAGCAACTCTAGCTCAAAGCGCATGCTCGGGGTAATAAAGGGAGAGATGAAAGCGAATGAGACTAGCTCATATAGCTCATACAGGACCAGCCTGGAAAAAAAAAAAGATCAAAAAGATAAAGATATCAGGAAAGGAGAGAAAGGAGCGTTGTATGCCAAATGCCAAAAACAAGAAGAGAGGGAACTTGGGTGTTCTCCGCAGATCGGTTCCCCGCCAAGGGGACTCAGTCGGTCACCCCTACCAACCCTTCCCAACTACACCGATTGTACATACAACAACACACTTGACGAATCAAGTATTGCTACACAAGTTACAATGCTCTCAATCTCGAGGAATATTGAGTATTCTGTTCGTGGAACATATTATACCCACTATAAGCAACTACTCCGTCTCAATGGTATGTGGCTGATGATATGACAATAAGCATAGTAGTAAGTTTGGACATCGTCGAATTGATTCCAGCGTACAAGCAAAGATCAGAACTACCTAAATTGAGCCTTTCGCGGCATGTATTCCGTATTGAATAATACAAGATACAAGATACATATATAGATAGATATCAAAACGGTCTCAATTCCGGCATAAAAAACATAAAAACAAGTGCATATAACCCTTAACGCTATACCTTCTGTACTCCTACCCTCTCCTTCTTATCCTTCGTAGTATATAAGATATGCAAGGTCTTTGGTTCTAATAACTAATTCCGTTATAATTAACTAGACACTATATCTAGTAGTAACCCTAATCTCCTTAAGGAAATCAAGAGTCTCTTTAGTAGTATACCTAGGGGTATTATCGTATAGAACAATCGGATCTTACTCCCTCCTTAGACAGAAGAAGCCTTCTACTATAATACGTGTAATGTAGGATTCACTATATAGGTATGGGGACTTCTAAAGTGAATTGAATCTGAATTGAATCTGAATTGAATGTGAAGTGAATGTGAAGTGAATGTGAAGTGAATGTGAAGTGAATGTGAAGTGAATCTGAAGTGAATCTGAAGTGATATAGGATAGACTGTTGTTTCTGTTTTTATAGACCACTTTTTGGCAGGAAGTCACAATGTTCGAAGAGGAACGACCTCAGTCCAAAACCAACAGAAATGTTCTCCTTGATCTTTCATGCATTCTTCAGATCTAAGTGAAATAGCCCTCACTGCCGTAATTCTCGTCAATTTATTAGACTCAAGTCACTCAACCACGGCTCAATTGTTACAACTCGACGGTATGATCAATACCTAGGTACTCACTTTAAAGTTAAGCGAAGTTACAGCTAATGATCTTAAGGAAAGAGCGTCCCTACCTCTGGGTATATAAGGAAGCCATTTCCCCCAGGCCTCCAAATCTTAAACTATCTCATAACCCGCATCAAAATACTAGGGGTATACGGGATAAGTCCCGTATACCCCTAGCATTGCACCGACCCAGAGGCCTGGAAAGGCCAGCTAATCGGTGGCCTCCTTGGGGTGTTCGCCCTGGGTTTGATTTTGGGAACAATAGTATGGATTGTCAGGTATGTTTAATCTGAGTTGCCCTCTCTTGTTATATCCATCGTTCTAATAGATATATGCGTAGGTTCCACGCCCTCCAGGTCCGGTTAAAGGACCCACAGATGATTATCAGCGCAGAATACGAGGAGAAGAAGAGGGCACAGAGACCTCCGTGGTAGAGGTTCTGGAAGGGTGAGTAACACGAGAAGCGCTTGTGGGAATTGTCACCAATACTAACCAAGAATGTCTCTCTAGCAAACAATGCCACCACCACCGATGGCACCACCACTACTCCCTCCAACGATGCTGTTAATGACGAGATGCCCACCCCTCGCCTAGCAATCCTTTGCGACAGCCCGTAGGCCGAACTTCTAGGTTCGGAGGGAAAGCCCTACATCTAGAAGCCAAATTCTAGAACTCGGTTTGAGTTCGTGGCCCCGCGGGGCCTCCGTCTACCTTCTCACCTCGACGCCGACTCGAAGTAGTCGTGTTGTTTGCTTATTCCAACCACATACCCCGGAACCGGCCAGGATGGTGGATCCGCTCATCCTTTTCCTCGCGCAGGCCGTCCCTGCTGATCATAGTACACAGAGATGTACTGCGGTTTGGCCTTTGGTTTGGCCTTAGGTTCGGAGTTTGGTGTGGTCTTTGGTATGGTCTTGGTTTCGACTTGGTTTGGATTGGTTGTGATTGTTTTCTCGATATATGTCTTTGTGGTTTTTGTCTTGGGGGTTCGTGTCTGTTTTATGAGCCCGACCAGAGAGGTATGACAGAGTTCTGATCGTTTCTTGGTTTTGAATACATTCATATTACCCATCATTATATGATCAATTCCATCTTGTACAGGCTATTTTAGTCAAGCTGGGGTAGACCAGTTCTAGCCTAGTTTGTAACCTGGTTCAGGCACTGCGACAGGCGACTACAGGGATCACCGTCACAGAACTCTCTCATTGGTTTATATTGCCTGGTAGTAACTACTAGTTATGTAGTTAGTAGTAATATTGAACCCATATGATGGCTTATAATGCCTTATAAAAGATATATAAAGAGACATTCAGCAAGCCTACACAAAACAATAGGTTAGATAGCAACAGCCGAGATGAAAGACGTGAAAGAGAAGAGAAATACGAAAACACGTCCAGATGTAAACTAAATTGGTGTGCTCAAGAGATATCAGATTAAAATGCACCAACCCTATGAAAACATGCTTCTTAAAAAATAAATGAACAATATGCTACAAAAAGAATAATGATCTCTCAAGCCTTGGCCTTGGCCCTACTCTTACGAGCCTTTTTCGGCTTTTCATCCTCAGCATCACCATCACCATCGGCCTTCTTCGTCTTCTTGCCCTTGGCCGGCGCCTTCTTTTTCTTAGGCAAGGTCACATACTTGTCCTTCTTCAGATCAAGTTCTTCCTCGTCCTCATTCTTGGTCTCTTCGACAACTTCTTCTTCATCGGATCCTTCAAGGGCATCTTCAATATCAGGCTTCTCCTTCTTTGTTTGCTTAGGTGCCACAACACTGCTGGCCTTCATGAATGGCATGGGGTGCGAACGCGAATTGTACAGACGCGTGAAGGTGGCTTTGGTCTGTGTCTCAAGTTTGATTTTAGACTCGTCCATTGGGCCGAGTCCTAGTTCAACCATGGAATCGAAGTCCTCGCGAGTGAGATAGTATTCATCCATGAGATCAATGACCGAGTCGACGCAGTCCTTGCCTTCGTCCATCATGCGGCGTATCATCTTCTCCTGGAGCAAGGGCATGTACTGCTGACGGATCTCGTCGCGGTTACCTGTGGTACGAAGACGCATGTGGCCCTGTATTTCCTTGACGTACCGTGATAGTTTGCCTGAAGGATAAATTAGTTAGAGAGTGTATACAGACGATGGGTGCACATCTAAAACATACCATGTTTGCTGTTATTGCCCAGCCAGCTAGTAAATGCAGGCCGCTCATTGAAGTTTCCGTACTGGAAGCTGGCCGGCCGCACGAAGCTGAAGATCGCATGGGTGGGCATAAGACTCCACTGCTGCTGGGTGCCGTGGATCATGCGGTCGACAAGATCACCGTCACTGATGCTCGAGGCGGCATTGTCCAGCAATTCAAGTGATTTCAGTCGCTGTTCCTGGCCATGATATTTGCCTGCAAGAGCGGGTTTGGTCTTGAGGTAATTCTCCTGAAGCATCAGGTAACTGAACTCGTGGTCGTTGAAATAAAGCTCGACCTTGTCATTCAAGGTAGCAGTGGAACTCGGGGAAAACATTTGGGCGCTTAGAATTTTGCTGACAATATCCCACGGCTTGAGGATGATGTTCTTCTCCCACGACTTTGACATCTGCTTGCCTTCGTCGTAATTGAGACCCTTTTGATCCAGTCTTGCGGTGGAAAGCATGTTGATGACCTGGCGGATATCGGCATGTGTTCCTTCAATGAGGCCGTCAAGTACAGGAGGCGGAATCTTGAGGCCTTCTCGGAAACAAATAGTGGACAGCCTTGCCCGAATTTGCTCAGCAGTCGGGCGTCTGAATGGCACGTCATAAGTGATGAAGTCGAAAGGTTTCATCTTTTGAAGCTTTCGTTCATTGCAGATAAGAATGATTGGAACCTTGGTCTTCTTGACAATGGCTGCGACAGCTCCTACACCTCCACGATCACCGGCAGACATACCATCAACCTCATCCATGATGAGGACGATCTTTTCTTTTCACTCTCCACTTGCTTGCCTTGTCCGGCAAAATATCCTTGCAATGATGTTGTATCTAACACACCCAGGGTAGAGCTTTCGACAAGCTTCTTACTTCTGGTGTCACTGGCGTTGGTCTCCACGGTATCGAATCCTTCCAGCTTCGCCACGAGATGGGCTGCTGTAGTTTTTCCGATTCCCGGGGGACCATGAATAATAACAGCACGGTATATTCCCGAACCGTCTTTACCACCCTTTTTGAAATCGGCCTGAGCATTGGCATGCCAGTTCCGCAGCCAGCTCTGAATCTTTTCCACGGCACCTTTATTACCACAGATCATACTGGTTGATGTTGGGGCATACTTCGTCGTCCAGAGATCACCAGATGATGTGGGCTGTGAGCTTGGTGGCGTCTGAGATGCTGTGGCGGTGATCTTGGGTCCTTGAGCCGCAGCCATCTTTCGTTTTTGCTCTTCTCGTTTCTTCTCCTCCGCATCGATTTCGGCCGCCATGGCACGGACTTTGGCCTCGTCAGCTTTCAGTTTCTCGGCGTACTTTTCGGCTGCCTTTCCATCACCGCCGTTGGCAGGTAGTCGTCGAATTAATTCGAAGAGACCGTCCTCGTTGATAGTCTTGATCTTATGCTTCGCAATGGTCTCAAGCTTCTTTGGGCCGGCATCACCTCCGAGGACAACATAGCTCGTTTTAGAACTAGGAGCCCCAACGACTTTGCCTCCATACTTCTTCACCAATTGCGCACCCTCTTCACGACCGAGGGATTCCAGAACACCGGTGAAAACGAATGACAAGCCAGCAAGGCAGTTTTCTTGCCCAACGGGCATTTCCTTAGTCCCAGTCGCTGCCGGGTCCCGGCTTTGCTGTGCTCCGAATTTGAATTTCTTTGGTTCACCCTTAGGAGGTTCTGGAGCCTCAATCGTAGGAATGCTGTCGAAGATATCTTGGACCTCTTTGCTTTCTGGTTTGTCCTCCTTTTTAGCCTTTTTCGGGCTAGCCTTTTGCTTTTTCGCAGCTGGTGATGTTGCGGCCTTGGCCTTTGGGGCTGCCTTTTTGGGTTCTTGGTAGTCACCATCTTCATCCTCGTCGATGAGAACTTCCGATTTGCGCTTGCGGCCAGGTCGAGCCTTCGGAGCAGGAATCTTGGGGAGATCTTCCATGACCACGTCATCCTCGTCATCGCGAGAAGATTGCTTCTTTTGTGTCCTCTTCGATGCTGCAGCGGCTGGCTTCACCTCAAGCATTTCGAAGTCACTGTCCTGGTCGCTATCATCCCCGGCCACATAAGCGTCCTCTCCTTTGCCGGCCTTTCCGTATTCGGTTGCAAAAATGTCATCGGCGCCGAGATTTTCATCCTCAAGGACGCTTGTGGCTTTCTTTGTTGATCCTCGGGTAGTGCTTCGTCCTTTGTTCACAGGTTCTTCGGCAGTCTTCTTGGGTTTGGGACTTTCGGCAACAATCTTGGCTTTATCGGGCTGAGCTTGCTCAGTCGGTTTGGCAGGTCGTGTCTTCTTCTTACTGGAGGCGAAATAGGCGGAGGAGGTTGTAGGTTCTTCTTTAGTGTCTTCAGGCTTTCTGCAAAGAAAGTTCATCAGTCAAATGGTATGAGAGCATTTCAACCCAGCGATCGACATACGGCTGATTCTTGGACTTCGCTTTGGTAACGGGAGCTTTGCTTGGTGCTACATCTTCTTCCTCGTCACTGTCATCCACAACTTTCCTACTGCCTGTTCTTTCGTTAGACTAGTGGTGCGGGAGTATGGATTATGGAGAACATACGCCTCTTTCTTGTGGTGGATGAGTCCTGCATTGTCAAATTATAGGTTAGATTATAATCTCGAGCGATTCAAAGGGCGCCAGGTCACATATAAAGTGACCAGGACCTCCTCTCATGAGCAAGGCACCAGCTTACCTCTTTTTTGGCCGCGGGCTTCGCGGCGGCGTCGCTGGAGCCTTGACCTGGCTTGCCGCCAAAGAAATTCCGGATATCCATAGTGAGCGTCAATCAATCACACAGAATTCGGCGTAGAATAGTAGTTGGGGAATTGGTCTAAGACCAATCGAGCTCTTGCCGCAGCGTTTGGTAGGTCGCGAACGACGCGACACACTCCCGGGAGACGTGACCGGCTGACGTAAGGCAGCACTTTCTTCCTTTTTAGGATTAGCGTACATAAGCTATGTACAGCCCTGGAGCTGTTGTTGTATGAACTATAAGAATAGTGAAAGCAGAGTAGGACTTTGCGTAGCCCATTGAATAACATAGGTTATGCATAATACTTCTATGGTAGGATGAACCACCAAGTGCAATTACGAGCCTTGGGAAAGGGCAGGAGGATTACCAGACTTTGAACATACTATAAATGTACATAACTAGTTATAGTTTCACCTATTAGGCAACGCAGCGCAGAACCTCTACTAATACAATCAAGTACATCTCACACCAATAATGTGGTGTTGAGAGCTACTCTAGAATGAAAGATGCTGTACGTAGTTACATAGTGGACTGTCATTGCAGCCTGATTTACAAGGCCAAAAGGTACATTAAGTGTATATGTCACGTGTATACCACCCTTCCCCTTCGGGACTAGTGCCAATCATCGAAAAGTGCCGGAGTAACGAAGCCTTTCGCAACATTGGTATATCTCGCCGCCTCCCTCCTCACAATGGGTCCACAGATCAAGATGTTTGCTGGACCGCTCTCCGCCTGCACGCGGCCAACCTGTACGAACCATTTAATTCCCAGAAAATCCATTCGGCCGAAGACTAACAGTGCGACACAGTGTCGGGACCGCTGGCCACCTTTTCTCTATCACGATGCTTCTCTACCACCTCGCCCGCCCTTGATTGGCTGACCCCGAAATTCCAAGAAAAATCCAAATCCCCCAAAGGTCGCCCTCACGTCGCTACCGGCGGATCCACCCGAGGAACAACAGTTGTGTGGGGAGACTTCGGTCTGCGCATGAAAGACCACGACCGCCGCATGCCCGCATCGGCGCTGAAGATCGCCGAAGAGACTATCAAGCGGCGGCTACGAGGAATGAACTATAAGCTGTACAAGCGTGTCAGCGCCAACATTGGTGTCTACACCAAGGGTAACGAGCAGCGTATGGGTAAGGGTAAGGGTAAGTTCGACTACTGGACTGTCCGACTGCCCGTGAGCCGAATCGTCTTTGAATTGAAGGGAGATGTCCACGAGAAGATTGCCCGCGAGGCTTTCAGATTGGCGGGCCACAAATTGCCTGGTAGGTTATGCATTCTCTACATGTACTATTTTGGGGGTACGAAAGATGTTCATTCTCATTCATTAGGTCTCTGGGAATTCGTTAAAAAGGATGACCCCCCTGTCGTCGGTATCACAAAGCTCGGAAACGGTGTCACTCTCGACTCTCTCAAGCGGGCGCGCAGAAACCCGCCTCTTGGTACCAACGACCTCGCTTCACCTCCGGAGAGCTCCTCCTCCAGCTCCGAACCTACCCAATAAACTGTCGTTTCCCGCATGATACCGTTTTCCCTTTTTTTTTCATCGGTCATGTCTTTTGCTTTTGTCGTCGTCTTCGCCCACTAGGCCCCGACACCAGACCCAGGCCCGTACCCCTGCTGTCTGCGGGCCTTGGCCACAGCATCGTCCTCGGCACGTTTCATATCTTTTGTACATTATCATCAGCTGTTTGCGTCTCTTTGGGAGCCATCGAGGCACGGGCCCCTCCGATGGATCTTTTGTCTTGATACTAGGAGTTTAGACAAGGAAAATATATTCAGCATTTACCTTTACCAGAGTCTGCGATCGCTCCCATGCCTAGCTTCTGGGCCTGGAAATCCTCGTCATTGCTTTGTGCCGGGGTATGTGTTCCTAGCCCAGGGCCAACTTCGCTTGTAGTGTGCTTATCGCCGACTTATATGAGGTCAGTCATTGCTATAGTGCACTCAGGATTATCTCCGAGGAAGGACACACCCCCTAATTGTCCAGTTTGCTTTAAGGGACTTAGTGTGAATTGTCTGATAGACTCATATCTGTACCCTGTTATTAGTGAAGAGCAATTAGGCAATTGTAAGATGCGGTCTTGATGCAGTCCATACTGAGTGCTCTCTCCGCCGGGTTCCATATCAACAAGTCTGGAGTCGGACATTTTGGATGCTGTTCGTGTTGGGGTAGAGGTATAGTGATGGGACAATGATAGATACAGTATTATAAAAATATAGCAGAAATTCCTGATCAACAGATGAAAGCTATTCAAATGTTTCTAGTGGGTGGTCCAGTTTATGGATGACGGGGATGTGATGACGTAGGCTAAGAAGAGACCCCGTGGACTTCTGATATACACAATTCGGGGTTGATATCAAACCTATACTACTTACTACTCACAATGCGGATACAGCTTCACTGTTGAAGTGCATATATAACTATGAGTTTGAGAGATCGATGTATGCAAAGATATTTCTACTACCTCAGAGATAGTACACAATGACAAGTGATATAACGCCAGAATCCTTCAGCAAATGCCTGTATGCGCCTGTGAAAAATGGAAATAAATCGGATACCTGGGGATTTTGAAAATGCATGATTCTGCTTAATAGCAGACCATAACCTCCTCAATCCCATTCTCACCGAAAACCACCTTAGTGTACAAATCGTCATTCATCCATTGTCTTGGTTTGTTGGTAGTGAGTAATCAAAAGTCCATGCCCATCAGGTAACTAGTCTATTATTAGTTATGTCTCGGTTAGATCATCTAGGGAAAGCATACCTTTCATAGATGCGCATGAACTTGGCCACGAATGCTTCGAGATGGAAGATTACTTTCTGTATTGAGTGCTTCATTAGCGCTTGAATTGACAGCAACAATCATCATCAATGACTTACGCTTCCCAGCTTGATGCGGTGCTCATAGAAGGCAGACCACTTGATAACTTCTGGCTTCAGTGCATCATCAACTCGTTGCACGAGTTTGAATGTCAAGGTCTAGCGCCAATAGTTAGTATCTGGATCATATTAATTATAAATGTGGATACACACCTTCAAAATAGTCGTCGGTGGGATGCAATGAGTCAAAAGATCATAAAGACGTGCGCGGACATGCAACAGTCGAGCTGGTGACCGTTCGGCCAGAATCTCATCAGCCGTGAGAGCAACAAGAGCCTCCCAGTCCGGAGGCGGGATGAGAGTCTGGTCTGTAACCTTTTCACTAAATTACAAAAAAAAAGGGTAAGCCTCCAAAATCCAGTTTAATGAGTATCGAAGCGAATACTCACTTTTGCGCATAAATGGACTCAAACATGAGCAGCGCACGACGCAGATTGCGTCCACTCTCCTTTGCAATCCTCTTGTTAAGCACCTCGGACTCTGTCCATCCTTCCCTTTTCCCTGCAAGATGGAGCGCAGAGCAAATGTCGCTTTCAGTAGGCGCGGCAACCCTGACCAGCAGGGTTCGGGAGCGAATCGGTGCAATGATGTTGGAGGTGCTGTTGGCCAGGAGAATCAATCGCAGATTAGGACTGTATTTCTCCATAGTCCTTCTGAGAGCTGCTTGGGCATCACGTGTGAGATGGTCGGCTTCGTTGATCACGACGACCTTGAACCGCTGCTTCGCACCAAGATCCACCTGTTGCGTCTGCGCAACCTCTTTGAGCAATTCCTGGACGACGACTCGGTCATATTGTCCGACATCTGCGGGGGTGATTTCCAGGTGGTATACCGACGAGACAATGTTGAATTCTAGCTTTCGGTTGCTTGTCGTTTGGAAGACTCTAGCGTCGATCTTAATCTTCTCGACACCGGGGCCGTACAGTTCTTTTAGTGTTGCGATTATGCGTGTTTTCTTGCCAGCACCCGAGGGTCCATAGACCAGTAAATGGGGGAAATCTCCGCTTTGTGCCTATGGATGGTACCTTGTATCAAAATCGTGTTCATGTTCCGCGGGTCAGGGTTTCTTACCAGTGAGCGCAGGCGATCAGAGAGCTCGGGGTGATACGAGAGAGCATCAAGGGTGCGTGGCCGCAGCTTGTCCACAAGGAGAGCCATTTTGAAAACTCCGCGTAGCTGTTGAGAGTATTGAGGAAGTGGAGTGCTGGTGGTTTTTCGATAGAGGATGCGGACTGGAGAACGCGTCCAGACACGCGCCTAATTAATCACTGGTCCGTGCACGCTCCCACTATCAATGGATGCAGCAAAGCGCATCGAAGAGCTTTAATTCGATGAAGATTGTACAATTACAGTTGAATAAATTCAATGATATATACAGATATATAGTTTTCTAGGCATTTGGCAGCCTTCCGCCAAACTCCGAGATGTATAGTACATGCAAAATTTGCTTTGAGAGATGAGATGAATGCGAAAAGGCCGGACACAACACCACGCATGTTTCTGCATGTTTCTTCGTTCACCGTTGGATGTCCAAGTCTATGCAAATCCACATAGTTGAAAATACAGTACCCAAATGTGTCCTTGGTATGAGCTTCTTATGACGCGATTGGCGTCAGAACACCGTTGTCATCATATTTCGCTTCTGCTTTGGGGTTAGACCAGGCCAAGAAAGCAGCGAATAGACACAAAACTTACTGAAGAAGGTATATGAAAGGGTAATAGTATCAATACCCTTCATGTTAGGATCGGTAGCAAAGTCAGGATCAATGAAGAAGAAAACAGGCATATCGACCGATTCTCCCGCATTGAGCTTCTGCTCCTCAAAGCAGAAACATTGGATCTTGCTAAAGTACGGTGCAACCTGACCTGGCGTGACACTGTATGTTGCGACTCCAATAATATCCTGCGGGCCCTTATTCGTTGCGGTGTAGAATGCCAGCGCCGTCTCGCCGGGTAGCACTCGGACCTCGCGCTGCTGGGGAGTAAACTTCCAAGGGAGGACATCCGATACCGAGCCGTTGAATGTGATGCGTAGACGACGAGAGTCTGTCACTGGTGTCACACGTGCAGAGGTATCACCGTCTCCGGTTCGGTGGGTGAGGATGGGCTGACCACCCCAACCGGTCTGTTGGCAGATCTGCAATTGGGATCAGAATGAGATCCTGTCTAGGATGTACTCTAGATCGAGTGAGAGCTTGGCATACCATTTTGTAAAGAGGGACAGATCCATATGCAAGGGCAACCGTTCCGAGGATCATACTGATAGTATAGTACCTGATCGGTGGCTTTGTTAGGACAAGGGTTCCCTCAAATGCGTATCCAATGGCAGCTCACATTGTAGAGGCATTGCGCTTTTGCGATTCTGGGGTATTAAAAGGCGTCGCGGATGTATTGCGTTCATGAAGCAGGAAATTCCTTGAAAAGTACCTCCGCTCTACCTCGAAGACGCTCTTCTGGAGGTAGATTGAGCGCTGAGGGATCGTCCCCGTCAGCACAGAGCGCCCCAACCAGGGGGTTAATCGTGAAAACATGGTTCTATGACTTCAATGGGATCAGATGTTGAGTCGCATGAGACCCAGCGTATCCTCAACACGTGACAACGCTCCCAAGCGGTTTGCAGGGTTTGCATACTCTGGGTGTCTGCGGCAAGTGATGCTTGGCACTTGCCAAGCAGGTCCACGGGTATATAACTATGGCACTCCCTACACAACAACCTTGGAAGTGGAGAGTTATATTGGACCAAGCGAGAGCCTGGCCATTATAGTTAACTGGTAATGGGACCCCCCCTTTCGAGATCCCCTTATTCCGGAGTTTGATGAAGAGGATCGCTAGAACAAACTGCTATTCGTAGCATTATCACTATTAGTGATAGTGATAATGAAATATGAGTTGTGTATTTGTCTTTTTATACAGATATTGGACAGTTTCTATTATGGTCTTATTGAGCGGGTATTCTATTCCTGGAGCATCACTGGAAAAGATCTCTCCAAGGATGCTCTATACTACCTAAGGACATCGGGAGTAGCATCTCTTAGAAGCTCCTCCTAGAGTCCCCTGCTCCTTCCTTATTTCACTCCTAGGTAGGCACCTTCCTCATCTAACCTCTCTTTCCCTTATTTACCCCCCTCTCAACCCCCCCCTCTCAACCCCCCCTCTCAACCCCCACCTCTCTTCCCCTCTCCCTCCCACGTCCTCTTTTGGTCTTCTATCTCCTCCATCGCCAGAAGCAGTCACCATCGCTATCTCCACTGTCTCCTACCAACAGGCACAGTGTGTCAGCATCTTCAACTTTCGTCCGATCGAGGAGCTCCAGGAGCTCTTTATAAATGAACGCGCCCATACTGGGCTCGGAGACGAAACGAACTCGAGTCTATGGTAAGGATGCTTGGGCCTGCGCACCTTTTTGTCCCATTTTCCGCAGCAGATCTACATTGGGATGATCTGATGCGACACCTTCCTCGGTACGAGGACTGGAAGACCGACGACACCACTGAAAGGATGCGCATCGCCAGTATTAACCTACGGGACAACCCCCATATTGCGGCCCAGTGGTTCTATATCCGTTTCGATGTTTTTCGCGACATGGTTTTAAGGCCGCACTTCGCAATAGTTAACCACTGGGACCGGTTCGAATGGCAGGGTCGGGGATCGTCGCATAATCATGCTCTCTACTGGACGGATCACTTACAAGCCCAGTCTACCCTATAAAGATTCACCCACCCCTAAACTAGCGGCCAAGAGATCTGCCAATTCAAGTCAAATTCAATTCAGATTCACTTCAGATTCATTTCAAATTTAATTTACTTTAAAAGTCCTATGCCCATTTTAGAAGACATTAATTTTATTAACCTTATCTGGGTATTCAGACATTCAGTTATGTACTATGTAAGAGATGGAAAACAAACAGCATGTACTATATAAACCTTCATGACCTTCATTATCTTTCCTCTTCCTACAACCATCTTCATCTTCCGCGTCTTCTGTCTTCAAGGACTTACACCCCCATCTAGGCAGTTTCAGCACTTTACCATTATCCCACAGCCTTCTGTGAGTCCCCTGCTGGTATATTTTCCATCCATCGCCATCTCTCACTTTGCCTTCCAACTTCTTCTCACTTGATCACTTTATTTGACATTCGTTAAGACACTATTTTTCCAAGACTGACTTGCTCAGATCCAATTATTCTCATTGTTGGTGTCCACTTACAAGAATGAAGCGGAGCCAGGTAAGTGACCTCTTAACTGAACCTATGATTCTTTTGCCCTGTCTAATATATCCAGCATTAAGGATACACTCTCCTCAAAAACAAGAAGGCAAAGTTTACTAGGTACTTCATCTTTTGACACGAGGCAGTCATGAGCTCGTCTGGTATACCGCAACGACTAGTTATATATTCCGACGACAAGTACAAAGGCAAGCGCCCAGCCGATTTGAGAAACAAAGACCCAAGACCCGGTACTTTGACCGTGAATCTGTTCCAACGGTTTCATACGACAATTGTGTGCGGTGCAAGGGCTACACATCTCTAAGACGACGCAACCAGCACCCTCTATTCCGATATTCGGTTGTATCATTCTTTGAGGAAGCTAAGAGGGCTAACAGCTAACAATACAATGTGTAAAACCAATGTGTAAACCGAAAAAAAAAGCTTGTGCTCCAGGATGTGGACTCATGGCCATTGAGCGCCCCAGACTCTGTTCGGAATGTTCTTCGGCATATCAAGTGCGATATCGACGTCACGCTCGGGTGGGACTGGCTGGCGACAAACATCTGCTCAAACCCGATGTTCAAAGGTACTGGTGGGCTCACAACAATATCTGCGGCGGGTCCGCGAGATGATATGATAGTCTGTTGTATAGTCGGGACATGGCGGAGGCGGTTCGGTTGCTCCACGTGGAAACCACTTGTTCCAAAGTAAAAGTCTTGAACTTGATTTTGGGCTCATTTCGATTGATGGGAATAATGATCACAAGATCGACATTGCCATTCGAATTATGGAGCCACCACTCTGCGTCCGCCTTGAGCTTGTTGTATGACTTGGAAACACCTACTTCGACTAAGTATGCCATGGTTCATATTGCCAGTAGTAATTTAGATCCACTAATGTTATAGATGCTTAAAGATGTCTATGCCTTATGTATACATACCCCACGGGGTTATGTAGGTACAGGGCATTGAAAACCCGGAATATCCACGGACCACCATAATTAACCGGTATCATCAAGCTTGGAACATCTCAAAGTGCGTAAGGATGCAAATTTCATAAAAATAATACAGGGCAATGGCACCCAGAAGTCAGACCCGAAGTCTAAAATAACCGATAACTAATACAACCGTTTGATGCCTTCGAAGCATCTCACTGAAAGAAAGTCTAATTCAACACACTCGATGTGATGCGACCAAAAACACCTCGTATCATGCTAGGTCGCTCGCGGAGGAAAGTAATAAGAATAGCAGCGCTAACAGCAAATGCAACACGCTCTCGATATTGATACTGGGAAACACCAACACACGTCAGTACCTCGTGATTGTTTTGGAGCCTGCGGCAGGCTAATTTGGAGACATTGAGAAGGGAGTGGAGGGGATGTGGGTGTAACCCTGTTGTGGACAGGAGATGCGAGGGTCCGATACGTACCTTTTTATCATACAACCGTGGCAAAACCGTGGCGGCAGCCCGGGGTGCCACAAATAGTGCTAGCTCCTGTCTCTTCCGCGTCTTTTCAACCAATATACTCCAACCACACATGAGACATCCCGCACCGACACAAAGCCCAGAGTCCCACATCATCGGAGTGACAGTCTTCGCATCGAAGATCTTGGGGCCAAGTCGTGTCCGAGCGAGACAGACGCCGTAATAAAATAAACTCACAAAAGATGCGAGGAAGGCAGATGATTGTGCTGCATCAGAAAGGGCCCGACGGAGGGCAGTTGCAGATTTCATCCTGCGCAGACGGAAGACAATTTGTAGGGGTATGTAGGTTGCACAGGCAAATTTGAAGGTTTTGGCAAATCGAGACAATGCGTGTTTCTCACAACTGGGACCACAGCCCATGTGAACCATTTCGCAAGGGATCGGCGTTACTTTTGCTGGGTCCCCCAAACCTCTGGCCAGTTGTAGTCTTTGCACATCGACTGGAGAAGAGGTGCTTGGCCTGTATCCTTTCCATAAACAAATACTCCCCGTCGAACACGACGCAAGGCTTCAATTAAACGCGAATCGACCTGAGCAGCTTCCCCGATCCACTTCTCGTAGGTTCTGGGCAGTCTTTCAGGAAGATAAAACCACGCCCACATGACTACAGCGGCACTCATGGCAAAGACAGTTGCGTCGGCGAAGCCAGGGGCCAGGGATTCAATAGTCGTCCAGCGATTCTGTGCCCGGCGGCGACGGGACCAGCGACCCCATGCAGCACACGCGACCGCATCTACAGCTCTTGTGACCATGTAGATGGTGAGGTCCATTGTCCTCCCTGCTAATTCTGGGCGGTGATGCTTCAGCGGATTGGCCATGACCTGATCAGAGTCCTTCCCCTGATCTGTGGAGTTCCGGATAGGTCTGGCATCTTCTGTTGGTAGACAGATGCGGTTGCTGTTCAGCAGTTGAAAACTGAACCACCCAGATAGAAAAGTGATGACGAATCTAATTAAGCGGTCGAGCCTCTGTGAAATCTGAATTTCATGTTTGGAGAGCCCTGCTGTGACCAATGCACACAGACGATAGAATCCTATTGGTAGTAGGGTTGAACCACCGACCAGGGAAGCACACGCTGTTGGGAAACTGTTTAGACGCGAAGGGCCAGTCAACACTTTAACTAACTATTCTCAAATCAGGGTTAGCTATAGCACTTCATTTGCACAATAGATCGGAGAAAACGGGTGACATGATAAGTCGCGATAACAGGTCCACATTTAGCTGATGTCGCGACGTACCTCTTGAAGTTTCTGTTGCGCAGTCCAGTCCTTATTGCGCAATCGGCGTACATACGACACCAATTTCGGGGTCACGGAAGACAGGTACCCCAGGGCGTAGGCGCGAAGGAGGCTACAGTCACGATCAGCAAGAGCTCTTCAGATCACACAGTTGCACCAAGCCACAAGGGTAACAGATCGCATAGACTCACGGCTTGAATACCCGGACGTTGTCCCTTCCATGGCGTCTCCGGAATGTAGGTTCCATGCTACCGGAAACCTTCATGTCATGATCCGTCGGGAGGTGTTCAACATCACAGTTCCCCGAACTAATCGGCGATGAAGGGGGGTCAGCCAACAATAAACTCTGATGGGATTCACAAGTCTCTTGTCACCAATCAGAAAATCAAGAGGTGTAAGAGCTTAATCGGTTTTATCCGTGGGTGACCTAACAATTGCACCTTCCGAAAATTGGGTAGTATTCTCCGGCAGAGGAAATTGACACTTGCACGATCGTTTTTCTAGACTAGTATGTGGATCGTGAATCCCATGTAATGGGCCTGTTAGAGACTCGGTTACACCTCGGTCGCTGCCCAGGTGGGAAATTCAGAAAAGCTCCCGCCAACAAGATCGAAATCCGAACTCGGGGGACCAGTTAAGAGAAGACAGAGGACGATCATCCGAAGCAACTGGGCCTTTCGGGGCAAACCTTGGGAAGACAATCGGGATTGCGGGGCTGAACAAGGCGAATGTTTTAATTTAAGGAAACCCCGTGACGGATGGACGATCCTAGGAGAACTATCCAAAATAGGGAGATGAACCGGACCCAATTTATCTGGGAATTTTCCCCCTGCAAAATAAGAAAGAAAGAAAGAAAGAGAGAAAGAGAGAAAGGATATAAGGAAAGAGTGATGTATTCCGAATGTAGATCAAGAATCAAGCTGTAATAAAAAGGGTACCTGCAGTATACTTGTGTAGTACTTGCAGCGCAGGAATGGAGACAAAGGTCAGTCTAAGTCAGTTCTAAGGGCCTCGGGAAGGGGGTTCTCCAGTCAAACAGCACATGAGCTCTTCCCCGGGAACGTATTAAATACCGGGGTTACATTGCAAGCCACACCGGAACGGCGATAATCTTGGTAATTTTCGTACTGTTACGTCACGCGCTCAATTTTTTGCATGTGATCAGGTCGAGGCCGAACAGCAGGATTGTTTTTTTGATGCGAAACTCTCCACGTATTCTTCTCGATCTCTCTTGGTTGTGGACACTCTCTTGATCCTCTTCCATTTCTTTCTTTCTTTCCACTTCTGCCTGACCTTCTTGTTCTTATTCCCATTGCGCCGAACCGAACCGGTTTCTTATCGAGTCGCATTATCAACCCTGGAGAACCCCGTGGCTTTGATCTAAACCCCCCCTCCCCGCGTCCCTCTTTTGTGGAGTCAAACCTTCGCTATCACTTTGATCGCAGACTGTTTGCACTTGAGTCCAAGGCATGACAGTGTCGCCTTGATCCGCGCTACTCTTGGCATCAGAGTGGCAACCCTTTCTTGACCGACACTCCGGCATACAAATTCCTCTATATATTGGATCAATCCTCACTATGAATGGACATGGGACTGAAGTTCGGACTGGGCGCAAATCCCCTCCGGCTGCTCCCTTTGGATGTGAGCTGCCCCGAGCATCATTTTGTACCGTTCCCTCTTTAACCCGATTATAGACTCCTTTCTCTCCCCCATGGACATACCCTTTGAACAGGCACCTGCTCTCCCCCAGGGCCTTCTCTTCTTGATGATAACGAATCCAACATGCTCAACAACTTCTTTACTACCATGAACGCAAACCACTTTACGAATGATTTCTGGATGCGACAAGAACATAAACCCGGGACTTCCAACTTTGACTGGTCAGGTGAGCTGCCACCCAACTTTGAGGGATCAACCACGTCCCTATCACAGCCTTCATTTCAGCAGCATGGGCTAGGCAAAGCACCCGGGGGAATGATGACAGACAACCCTACAAGCTCGGATATCTTTGCCGCAACCTCCATGCTCTACCACAACGGTCTAAACGGATCAGAGTTGGGATCTGCGTTGGCACAACAGACTTTCGCGGGACACACTCTCTCTGCCCTTGGGACACAACGAAAAACCAATTCACATACCGGCAGTACTGCACATGGTTCAACTTCATCTCCACCCCGGGCTGATGTACCGGTTGGATATCATACCTCGGAGATGTTTTTCGACGTCCGTGACCCCATTCCCGCAGACCAACATCCATCAAGGAAGGTCCGCAGTTTGCGATGGGGCTCAGATGCTAGTTTCATGGATCAAGGCTATCTTCGCCCCCCCTGACCAGCCCGACGAGGAACAGCGGACAAGTGACCTGCTCGATCATCTCGGGTGTTTCGAGCCACAAAGCAGTGCAGCAAACACACGAGCACCTAGTCCAGAACGCATGGTTGGGGCTCCTCCTCAAGGTCCCACCTTCCGAAGTGGTGCTGTCCTGGACGAGAGCTTACACCCTCGGAAACGCTCAAGAGTCGTGAAAGAGGAGGCTGACGAATACTCCGATGACGATGATGCACGACCTCACTCAAGGAAATCTAGAGGATCTATCAGCAAAGGCCGACGGGTATCAACAGACAGTTCTCGAAAAGCCCGACTACAGCCAGGGTCCAAAGCTGCACGAGAGAATCTTACAGAGGAACAAAAGCGGACCAACCATATTCTTTCAGAGCAGAAACGCCGAAATCTCATTCGTCAAGGCTTCGAAGATTTGTGCACACTCGTCCCTGCGCTCAGAGGTGGCGGGTTCAGCAAAAGCGCAATGCTCACTGGAGCTGCTGACTGGCTTGAGGACCTTCTCCATGGGAATGACATACTCCAAAGCCAACTGCATGACTTGAAGGGCATCAATGGCTTGGTTATGCCGCGTTGATACCCTCTGTGACACGATCACAACGTTAATTTATGATCTCATGGATGCCTCTTTTCTTGGCGGTGATTGCAAGCGTTTCAGCGGGTGGACAGTTTTGTGTATGCACGCCGGCGAGTGGGCATTTCATCTTGGAAAATCCCAGCGACAAGATACCTTTTGTTTTGTTTTGTTTTTTTTTTTTTTTTTTTCATTCTCTTCATACTGTTTCTTTGCCGTCTTTTTGTCCCCATCTAACCGCTGTAGGTGATACGAGTCATATTCCGGCTTGTTCTCGGCAAATATCGATACCCTGTTGCATAGTTCGAAAAGCCTGTATTGGTAGAACATAGTTTGAGTATTTCAAATGGTTTTTTTATGAAAAAAAAATAGAGTTGGTCCATATATTAAGGTATATATATTCCTGCGTACAACATAGTTGGCTTATAATATAACTAGAGAGCACTGCCCTGCCAAAAGCTATAGTTATAGGTGTGTCGTTGTTCTCTACTATATGTACACATTTAGTTTTTAAGCTGACATAGATAATACTATACCTAGGTAATTTGACATTTCAAGGACATGTCTCCAGCTTCTATCTTAGTCTTCGATACGAAATACTAGTGTGTACGAATATGTTAATAAAGGCCAAGACTACCAAGACCTGTCGGAATGCTGCTAGTATCTCCATGTTCTGTCTCCACCGCTCTGTTTTGCCTGCATGTGAAGACGCGTCGACGTAACCTTAATTTTAGATCTCGACAAGACCCAACACCCTCAACTTACATATGTACCATGCCTCCAAAGCGAAAACACACCGACGATATCCCGCAGGAGGACGAATCCAAGCGCTATGCCTATCTCAAACCTCACGTCCGCCGCGTCCCAGAGAAGACCATCAAGTCGAAATGGACCCCTCTACCGGAACCTGTCCAGGAAAAGGTCAAAGACATGTTCCACTCCCTCGAGCGACCGGTGATAATGCGGAATCAAAATGAGCGCAAGCGCATCGAGGCACAGGGTGCCGTGCAAGCGGTTGTGCGAAAGTAGGACGCCATGCTCAGTCTGGTAGCTTCCGCAGAGCTACCAGTGTCTTGAGAGAGAATGATGATACCTAGGTACTAACTGTGTTGTTTTAGTTTAAGCAAACGACTCCCGCGAATGCCGTTTCCACCCATAACGAAGGAATCCAACTTCGACTACGAATCTGCGCTGAATGAGCACGTATGTGACCCTCTACGATTGTCGTCAAGTCCATCCCGATTAATTTTTTAGCGGTCGCTCGAGGCTCACTTGGCTACGATGAACGATAGCGTCGATCTATTAAAAGCCGAAATTGCCAAAGAAGAAGCGCTCCTTGCTGGGGAGACGAAGTCACTCCAGCAAATGGACAAGAATGCCAAACGGGCCGAGGTTGAAAGGAAACGACAGACTAAGAATGTATGCAGCAAACGCACCTTGCTTCCAAGCGGGATTGGCTAATATTTTGCGACCGCAGGAACACCCCGTGCTCCGACAGCTGGATGCACTCCCTCAAGCCGAGGGTTCTGGTTCCTCCGAGTTCGTCCTTCTTGGCGCGAAAGATAGCCAAATAACACTAGATGATGTATGGACTGCTTGCGAACCACACGTGCTCGCTCTGTTAACCGACCATTGTGTTTGATTTTAGTTGGAGACCGACCCCGAAGTCCAAGGACTCATGAAGCAACTGCATGGCCATCTTCAATCCATGCAAAGCAACACCGCCCCCTTCGCAGGACTCGGCGATGCCATCACCCGTGCACAAGCTGCTTTGGATCTATACTCGATGCCCAACGACTGATCGTCCCACTGGGCATCACCACACCATCCAACCAACAACCAACCAATACCGGAGTTTCGATGCTTATGATTGGTACATGAAGGCCCTCGGACCCAGAGTAGGCGCGCTTATTAAAAACGCAAAACCAAGTACCGCCAGAGCTTGGCGACCAGGAATCACATCGGCAATCCTCGTCGCGTGCTCGAATCTCAATGCAGTCACTGAATAGCTGCATATTGTGGGACCGCGCACGGTTGAACGCATCTTTTTTTCAACAAAGGATATCCTATTTCAAGGGCTAACGAGTATCATGCGCACCCAGTCCAGTCTGAGGAGGAGTTCCTGGCTTCAAAGATAACTAGGCAACCCGAGGCCCCCACTGCATGAGAGGGGGGAAAAAGACTAAACGGTTGAAAATCAATAAAACACGAGTTATGCATTTTTACACGGAGTACAATGGTCTCAATCCAAATTCCAATTATAAGAATAGAAAAACGTAATTCCTCGACCGAGGTCTCGCCCCCGAAAGTGGCGTGTGCCCAAACAGCCAACCCCATGCGGAGGAGTTCGGAGGGGTGACTCCGCTTTCTCCATCCCCAAGAACTTTTTGACGTTTACCAACTACCAACTGGTCTGCAGGCAGCCATTTCACTCTGGCCCTGGTGGTTCTCAACTTTTGCGCAATGTCCGAAAAGAATGCGCCGTTGGGCATTTCCAATGCGACAAAATCCAGGTCCACTGATGCAGGGAAGGATACGAGCGTCAAGAACTCGCAAACATCTGCGGCCAAGGCTGAAACGACCGGCTCAGGGAGTCACTCCAGTCCCAAGAAGCGCCGGAAGGTGAATCACGGTAAGGTGCCGTTGCGCAGCATACGACAGGGATCTGGGCGCGCCCGATTCTGTTGCGCATAACGATAAGAACATCTTTGCTAACGAGAAGTTCCCGCAATTCTAGCTTGTGTATATTGTCGCCGCTCAGTAAGTTTACCTCTTGGGATGTCATTATGCTTGATTGCTATACGCGATAGGCCATGGTATTAGTGCTGGCGCATATCTATTGGAGGAACTGGCTTTGCTAACGGGATTTTGTTCGCGTGGGACAGCATATGACCTGTGACTCAGTACGACGCCTCTGTCTCCCCTTTCCCCGTTCGCGACCCGTCACATCTGAAACCCTGAAGGCAGACTCGCGGAAAAATAAATTGCACCAGCTGACCTGTCTGAATCTATGAAGGAACGGCCCTGCACGCGCTGTATAAAGCGGAACATCGGCCACCTGTGCCATGACGAGCCGAGGGAAACCGCCAAACGAGGACGCGGCGAACACGAACTTTCTGCTGCAGACGACGAGGGCTCGTCTAACAATGAATTGGGCTCCGTTCAAGGCATGCCTAGGAGTGTCGATGTCGCCGATGCTGCTGGTCAGCAATCATTCCCTGATACCACGATCGGAATCGCACCTTCAGCTGTGAACCCGCCTTCAACGGTACCGCCTGGCAATCTTTCTGCATCTAGTCAGGGCCTCGAGCCTAACTCCCAGCGTGAGTTCGCAACGAATCCACTCCTGCCCCTGGACTCGACTGACGTGGCATGACAGTCATGCAATATACCGACTGGGTAAGTGGTCAGAATCAGTTCCAGGATATGCATTCTCTCCACCCGTCGTACATGTTTAATGCCCATGAGGTGACCAACGAGTACAATCTGCTTGGAGATTTCCTCAGTAACAGTCTCTTGGACGATGGGGCGATGTTCCAAAATCAAGACATGCAGGGAATCTACACCGATTCATCCTTGATGAATTCGATGAATGGTATGGCACTACCGAACGGGCTGCCTCCTCCGGCACAACTCCCGCCGCCAGCACAAAGCCAAGTGCCGTCAGGAGACTCCATTCAACGACCAACCTCGACGGTGGGCAATGACAAAGCTCGGGAAACATACTACATGACCGCCGCCGACCCAGCAGGAACCGACCCACCAGAGGAGCGGATGAACAAGCTTCTCAAAGCAAAATATGACGCCGGTTTACTGAAACCGTTTAACTATGTCAAGGGATATGCACGATTGAACCAGTACATGGAAAAGAACATGCAACAATTATCTCGGCAAAAGATTCTGCGGCAGCTCGATAAGTTCCGGCCCAAGTTCCGAGAACGCATGCAGAGCTTGACTGATATTGAACTGATTCTGGTGGAGATGTGGTTCGAGCGGAGTCTTATGGAGTACGACCGCGTCTTTGCCAGTATGGCTATTCCGGCCTGTTGCTGGCGTCGAACGGGCGAGATCTTCCGAGGAAACAATGAGATGGCACAGCTGATTGATGTCCCGGTTGAGGGTCTGCGAGATGTAAGTTCCAAAATTGGAGACTCCCACATCATATCACAGCCAACTCACATGTTTACTTTCTCTGTAGGGCAAACTTGCTATCCACGAGATCATCGTCGAAGATCAATTGGTCAGTTATTGGGAAAAGTTCGGCGCTATCGCCTTCGACAATACGCAAAAGGCCATGCTCACCAGTTGCACGCTGAAGAGTCCTAACCCCAACTCAACAGGCGATGGTATTACCTGCTGCTTTTCGTTTACGATCAGACGGGACAATCACAACATGTAAGTGTTCACTGCTCACTGTCCACTAGATCCTGACGTGCCGAAACTAACACTGTGCAGTCCGTCTCTCATCGTTGGGAACTTCCTCCCCATCGATAAATAGTACTTTTTGGTAGACTCTGCTATTTATTTTATCTCACGCAAGGATTTCTCTTTTGGTATCATCTTTGGTTTGGTGATTCCCCGAGTTTTGGCTGTGCTCTTCACGAAAAAAATGTATAGTGCTTGATTTATGTGTATAACATGGAATAGCATGTTTTGACTCGAATGATATGATATATAGGAAGAGAGGTAATCCTATGAAATAGTGTATATCCATGGTATGTTCCGTTTGCAATGGTAAGAGCCGACGTAAACTGAGAGTTTGAGCGCAGCCTTCACGACTCAGTTGTCTCTTTCGTCCCTCCACCTCCACGCTCTTACAACTCCAACCATCTTCTCTCTCACTCTCTTTCATTTCTCTTAACATTTCTGTCAACTTTTATCATCTACTATCTGTTTTTTATCTTCCTCTCTCTTTCTTTGTCTCCCAATTCCCAAGTCTTCTCGATGGCGCAGCTGTCTGGAGGACGCCAGGCTCTGGCAGGTATGAGACGCTCACCATGTTCCCTCTGGGTGCAGCAGCTAATCCCCGAATTCTTCCACCTCAGACTTTGCTTGCAACTTGCATACGATCTTATCCGCAGTCAATGCTTCGACAAGTCCTCTCCTCGCCCCCAATGTAATCTTCAGACTGGATAGCGACCTCAACAGTAACCCGTTCATTATCGTGGTAAATATGTTGAATCGCGAGCAGTTTGATGACATTGGGACATCGCTTTGGAACGACTGCACTGATCTGATGATTACGCGTGGTGACAAACCGGAGGATGTGCTAGTGCTTGGCAAAGTGAGGGCTATCGCGTTCGCCGTCTTGAACACGGCTGTCACGCCTGATCTCTTAGGTATTTTTACGATCTCTGATATATGCTGAAGTGAGATTATCTGACTTTTCATAGGGAATCTCAGGGCTCTCGACCTGGCTCTCAAGGCAGCGCGTATTTGCATTGGTATATCATCCTATATCTCACTTGATGACTTTATCAGATCTAACAACAAGAACAGTGAACCAGCAATGCGACATTGCACTAAATATTCTGTCTGTGGCTGCTGTAAGATTGACGAATGTTCAGCCTGTTCATCTTGGCCTTGATCCTGCGATCAACCGAAATCTCACCATCCGATACCTCTTGCTTCGTGTTCGGCTGGTGAGTTGTATTGTCGGAACACCGTGTTGTGTTAACACCAGAACTGACATATTATTCTAGGCCTGGTTGCAGGATCGAGTCGATATCGCCGAGCATTTCTTCGCCAAACTCCCTCTAGCAGTTGTGTCAAATGATGAAGAGTGGATTTTCGAAACTTGTTTTATCATTGGTGACTCTGCACTCGCACGGCGTCTGCCAGAAATTGCAATCATATGGCTGCAGAGAGCAAGCGACCACTTCACGTCTTTCTCCCTTTTGTCTGGGACGAATTTTCCAGATCACGAGAATTGGAACTTGGTTATTCGACATTCCCTTGGTGAGTGGGTTGATCTAGTTGATGACCTGGACTAACATGTTACAGTTATGGCTTCTTTACAGGCTAGAAGCCCCTTGGGAACCGTCACCTACGAAATTGAAACGAGATACTTGAGAAGTGTACGTATGTGGTGAGGTGTGGTAAACCCGAAGCTGACCTTTTTTAGTGTTACTCGGAGCATCCTGCTGTGGTCCTTTTGGATCTCTCTATGGGATATAACAATTCTACTAACGACGAATTACTCCAAGGCAAGACTGATGTTTATCTTCGGTGGAATTGAATTAACCATATCGTTGCAGGCCTGAAGGGTCTGGTTGATAAGTTACCTCTCACAGATATGAACATGCCGATGTGAGTTATCCCAACAAGTATTAACTGGAAGTTTTTCACGGATATTAACATGGATCTAGAATTTTCCAATTTGCCCGATCTATGGACCATTCAGGGTACCTTGGTGCAGCCTGTTTGGCGATGTACTTTGCTAATGGTTATATAGTGGTTCGGATGACGGAATGGAGGCATTTCGAATTTTGCTCATGCACCCTCTGCCAAGAGAATGGACAGAGAAATGCTTTGTTGCTTTTCTTCTACTTTTGAGCAGATCGGAGTACTCTGATCTCAAGCGCATTAGCATCCTTCGGGATGTAATTGATGCACTAGAGAAACGTGGATATCCATCAATTAGCGCCACGCCAGCTCATGCCACCTTGATTGTAAGGCAAACTTTCATGATCATCAATGAAAATAGCTGACTGATTGCCTACAGTGCATCTGGAAAATGACTGGCGAGGCCCTTCTCAAGAAGGACTACTGGACTGCAAAGCTATGGCTTGAGATGTGCACTAATCCGAAGATCTTTCAATACTGCTCCATGGAAACCCAGATTGCGATACAAAAGTCAGCGGAACAAGCCTCTCGTTTTACTTGCAGTTTTACTTGCATAGCGGGCTAACATTTCTCCAGGAAGCTGGTAGCATGTTACCTGAAGACTGGCGAAACCACCGCTGCTCGTCGGTTAATCGACCGGGGTCTATTCCAAAGTCAAGTGGATTGCGAGAGGATGTACTTGTCTTACAAGTTGCTCTTGCTGGAAGGGAAAGACGGCCGTGGTATGGATAGTTCATGGAACTTTCACTGATCTGATTTACTCTAACCAAATACAAGGGCATTTCTATCTCGGTTTTCCTTCGCACCCGGTGCCGCACAAGCAAACGAGTCTCCTATCATGCGCAATGGAAGCCCAGAGACAACGCAAACCAGAAGAAGTACTGAACTGTCTTGATCAATTCATCAAATGTTTGACTTCAGATGACATTTATCACTCTGACTTTCCCGCCGCGGAACATCACATGTGAGCATGTTTTGAATCTATGACTTGATCTACAAGGCTAACTTAGCTACCCTGGACAGATTCGCAATGGTTCTTCTTTCCGAAGAACTCTCAAAAGGCTTTAACCAGAGGATTGGCAACTGTATCGAGACTGTACTCCAAAGTGGTGCGTTTTCCCCTTTTAATGCCATAGCTATCTACTGATACTGACCGTTCAACAGCCGTGTCTTATGCAAAAGAGAACAGCATGTTTGAAGGTGGCGACCAGGAGGTCTCAGTCACCCAACTGCAATGGCTGTATTGTGCATCTTACAAACTCGCTTTGAAACTTGTCAACTCTTCCGGGTTTCTGTGGGCTGCTTCTGTCCTGGATCACTCTAGAGATGTCTGTTTTCAATTAATTCAAGGTATCTTTCTGGCTATGTTGACTAACAAGTTTACAGTTGGCGATTCAGTATCGTGAGATTGCATACCCCGAGATGGGTTCCAAAGCACCCAGGCCGCATTTATTTGCAGTTGTTTACCTCCGTCTCCTTGTTAGCACCCTTGGGGCCCGCCGTGAGAATGATCCGACCCAAAAGGTTAGTTCCAGCAGTTCTTGTCTATACCAAACTATTTCTCGGAAATATCACAATATCATAGCCTGATGACCATACTGACCATATGCAGGCATCGCACTACGATAATGTACGCGCTTATTGCCGGGAACTCGATGACTTGCATGGCTGGGAAGATGGAGAGGAGGAGGCAGATGTCGCGAATAACAAGGAAAACGGGCACCATGATGTTGCCAAATTCTTCGACCTTGAGGCTGCCATGCACCTTAAGAAGTGGGACGATGTGACCAACATATGTGCATCCGACGACACATTCCCCGATCCGAAGTTTTACTCACCTATTATGGACCTGACTCTCCAATTGGACCTACCACCCACATTGGCAATCCAGATCATCAAGGTACGCTCTATTCCTATGGATGATATACTGCTTTCTCTGGACAACTACTGACATTCATGCAATAGCGCATCGTGTTAAAACTCAGCGAGCTACAGGACGACCCCCCAACCACATGGCAGCGCGATTTCCGGGTTTCCCTGCCCCGCTACCTCCATTGTCTATTTGCACTAGCCATTCTGCCAGTTCAACAACCAGACTATCTTGAATTTGTCAATCTCGATGTCGAAATGGCTGACCCTGAGGTTGCTGAAGATGTTCTCGACAAAATCCTTGAAATGGCAAACGAAGAGGCAGAGGAAGACGTTAATCACGAGGGTTTTAGTACACAGTACGGTCAGGACATCATGCATACCGGTTCTGAGCTCCGTGAAATGTTTACATATCCAGCTGCGGAGTTGATCAAAATTGCTACCGTGGCTTTCAACAAGGCTACTGACTTTTACCGTGCTACGCAAGATGAGGACTGTCAGCGTTGGGCGAACAAGGCCATTGAGATTGCTCAGCTTGTGCCAGGTGCCCAGGGCAGACAACTGGTCGAGACGCTTCAAAATCGACTGGGGGGCTTGATTGGAGTCTAAGACCTTGGGTTGTTAAGCTCATTTGGTCTGGAGATTTCGAGTAGGTGGTGGTGTGTGGTGTGTGGTGAGAGTGCGTGCGCGTGCAGTTAGCAAGAAGCGTCTAGCAAGGCCTACTGATTGACATTAGGTGGTGATTGGATGGAGATGTCCAATGGTGTCTTCTCAGTTGGGCCCTGACGAGATGGAAGAATTTATGTAGAGTGAAATGTTAGGTTTTTGAGATGAAATTGAAAAACTTGAATTAGGTATTCTTATGCTTTCCCGATCAAAATAAAAAATAAAAAATAAAGAGAATGAAAGGACTCCAGGAGGTTGATCATGGTGAGATGGCATACAGCCTCTCAATAAAGGGTTAAATATGGGTATCATCAGAAGGGGAAATGATCTCAAGGAAATCAGGAAGTAGAAACGAAACTCGCCCAAGCCACCGAAAATCCAGTAGATGATGCAAAGATGCAAGGAAACGAAAAGATTCCAAAAAGAAATTGCAAAAGAATGCACAAGCCAAAATGCTGGTAAAAAAAAAAGAAAAAAAAAAAAAGAACGATCAGGGGTAGGTTAGGTGATATAGAAGCGCCGTAGCAATTCCACGACCGAAGCCATGGAAAACCAAGAATGCAGTACTTCTCCTCAAAGCAGAATAAAATCCACATTGAGAGAACGGAGTTCATTCCTCCTCATTCGTATCGGAAGAACGACTCCGCGAAACCTGCCGCGTCCCCTTATGCCGCAACGACGGGGTAGACGGCATACGGTGAGGAATCCGAGGCGACTTTGGCATGGCCGAGTAGCTCTGTTTCTGCTCTCGCTCCATATCTTTCCCGCTACTATCCGTCTCAGTCTCGGCGCTCTCATCGCTACTCTGTCCACGACCACCCACAATGCGGAGTGTGAGACTGAGCTCGCGCTCGAGCTCCTTTTGCGCTTGCATGCGTTGATTCGAGCCGTTGAGTTTCTTGCGATAGGCTCGTAGACTCCGGCATAGCTGCTCGGTGGACATATCCAGGCTTCCGAACTCGCTGCGGGGTGTTGTTTTGCCGCGGTTGCGGAAGTCGAGGGATGTGCGGCGGTTGGTGGTTCTTGCGCTGTGCGGTTTTCGCGGTGTTGGGGTTTTGGATTTCGGGCTGACTGGGGATGGAGAGCGGCGACGTCGGTCTTGCGGTGTGCCTGGTCCCGGTGTTGGGGAGAGGCGGTTTGGTGGGGATGATGTTTCTGAAACGGCGTGGTTTTTAAGTGATGATGGTGCTAGTGATAGTCGAGACAGCTTGCGGAGTAGAGTTGGAGAGTGCTCGCGTATGGGTGTTGGTGTTGTAGGATTGGGGCTATCTGGTCGTTGAAATCCGGCGAGCTCACTGCGGGAAAGGACTTTTCGGAGAGGAGGCCTCGCCGCTGTTGGTTCCTTTACCGGGTTTTCATCGTCCTCGCGTGTATTCCCAACGAGGTCTGGTGAGACCTGTTGCTGGACAGATAGGTTCCATATCATCAAAATACCATCCATACCAGCACTGACCACTGTGCGCCTGGTTTGGGACCCATCGGATTTATCACGCTCCTCCAGGAGTAACACGTCGGTGACGCCTTCCGTATGGCCAAATTCACCAGTGAGGAGCTGGTCTCGCTCTAGATCGTAGACGCGAATAGATTTGTCGGTGCTCGAAACACCTACAAGGACCTTCGGGGTCTGGCCTGAGATTTCTGATGCAATTGTCAACGAGCCCAAAATCACCGCATCGGCCGTCTCCGAATCAGATGCCTTAAAACAGTGAAGTTGATGCCCGGAAGGGATGTCGAATTTCGAAACACAACGATCCATGGTAGAAAGGTATAGAATGTTCGAGTCATCTGGACAAAGTGTCATTGACACCGGGGAGGACTTTTGAGTGATGACCCTGGATATGAGGTATGCAACAGATGTGCCACCATCCACCTCGCGTGTCGCACGCTCTCGTATAACAACAGTGCGGTCTGCGGAGCACGAAAGCAGCTTTTCGCCTTCGTTGATGAACATCAATTGTCCAACAGCTCCGACGTGATCGTCCATGGTTTGAATCAACTGTAACTCGGTGTCTCGTCTCTCGAAGAGTTGCACCATCCGATCACGTCCAGAACTAGCTATCAACCAGGTATCGTCCATTCCTTGGATGGCCACATCCGTGATCTCTCCACCATGGGCGCGCGCCTCGTTGAGGCAAGCCCAGTCGGAATTCGAAAATATTCTGCACCAGAGTCAGTCAAAGATCTTGGTCACTATCCCATATTTGCACATACCTCAATACACCAAACTTGTCAGCAGAGACAAACCAGTGCGCATTTTCGGCGGCCCTCAAAACTTTGAGTTCGTTTGCCGAATCTTCTTCCTTTCCTGGAAATTGGTCCAGGTCGATATTTTTAGATCCTTGACACCTCCCCTGGGCATCCCAAAAGTTCACTGAACCATTGCGAGACCATGTGAAGAAGTCCGCAGACAAATCATTGGGGAAATCCATGCGGCAAATGCCGAGAATCGGGTCCCGATGGGCCGGCATGGAAGCCTCGCCCTCCTCCTGTTCACCATCTTCGCCTAAAGTGTCAATCGGATAGACATGAATCGCGCGGGTGGATTCAACGGTGACCAAATGGGAGTTAAGAGACCCCATACAAGTAATCGCCGGTGACTTGCTTTTCTTGTCAAGCGCACTCTTGTCAAGGCGCACAGGAGACATCGGCGTAGATGAGCCGGATGATCGTAGAACCTCAAATGGCACCCGCTGCATTTGCCTTCCTCGTCCGCCTAGCCATATGGATTCTTGGTCAAAGTCCACGGCCAACGAGGTGATGCTGAATCCAACTTGCTTTACCGTGATCATCTTCTGCGATCCTTCGCGATCATCGAGAAAACAAACCGCGCCTGAATCTGTGCCGATCACAGCCTCGTTGTAGGAAATACTGTTCACACAGGTGAAGGTGTTGTCGCCCAGCGCGCCAAGTAGACAATTCCTGCCAGAAAGTGCTTTTGGGGCAGGATTGGGTGAGGGGCCAGCTCCCTCGACATTTAAACGTGTCTTGGTTGGTGAAACAGGCCGAATCACTGTTGGAAGACGCCAGACCTTAACATGTCGCAGACCGGTTCTAAACAAAGACATTAGTTGGGTGCTAGTTATCACCATCCAATCAAACATACGTCACCAAGCTCTGGCCGACCCAGCACATATCCTTAATAAATGAAGTGCATTTATTCGCGGAGTGTAGCTTGGCCGACCCATTTTTGAGGTTGATTGTCCAGATAAAGAGAAATCCGTCGTTCGGGTTGCCGAGTGTTGCCAAATGCTGAGAGTCGGGGCTAAACGCCAGGCTGCGAACACCGAACGTATGCTCGTTCAGAATTGAGAGGGGAATATCCGGCAAAGCATCTCTCGCTGTCGAAAATATCAAAACTCGAGGATTGTAACCAGTCTTGAAGTTGTCAGCTGCTGTGGTGCAATTATTTATCTCAATTTCCCCCACGTACCTCTCCCACTGCGAGGAATCTTCCATTCGGGCTGATCGAAACACTCGTTACTGCTTTGATTCTTTCCCTCGAAGACCATCCACGTGGACTGCCGCTGTCGATGGCTTCGTTTGACGGAGACCCATTGTGAAGATTAAGGTGTGGATTGGACCGGATATGGGAAAGGGATCGCGATCTCGGGTCTGGGGTGGCTGGGGGAGTCGAATGGTTGTAAAAAGAAGTTGACGGGTTGACACTTGTTGCGGAGGGCCGGGCTCGGAAGAAGCGCTGTGTTATATTATCGTTCTCGTCCAATTCTGCAAGAACCGCTGCTGATCCAGCGCATAGCGCAAAGCTTCTGCTCTGGTCATGGCTTGAAAAGCCATTGGGAGTGGTTGTTGTTGTGCCGATAACGGTCTGGAGAGACAAGGAGGATTGATGGGAGGTTTTGCTAGGGGATCGCGTGCCTGGTCGGAGGATTGGAGAGTTCGAAGGAGTGATTTTCAAGGATGCGCCTGGTCCAGCAAGCTTGCTTTTCGCACTGAGGGGGCGGTGGTAGCCATATCCTCGGGAAGGAGGCGATCGGTGATTCAAGGTCCACTGAGAGCGCGGGATATTTATATTTCAAGCCAAGTTCATAAGGTAGGTTCGTAGATGCCAGTCAGGCCGTAGTAGGCGTCGGAAATTTTATCTCGGGAGCGCTCAGGAGAGAGTGTGGAAGGATAGTAGAATTAGTGGGGGCAAGCTGAAATGAAGCTTTGATCAGCCAAGTCCGATCTCCATGTACAACATACACACACACAAATCTAGAACTCACCAAAAGAGCGTATAGGAAGAGAGAAAGAAACAAACACGAGGCTCATTCCGCGATAAAGCAGATCATTCCAGTGGATCAGAGGAATTTGAACCTTGGATTTCTGCTTCCCCCTGGCTCCATGGGGTTATATGGAATTATGCTTGGCTTCTGATTAGCCTGGATTTGAGGAATTGCCAGGTTCTCACTTATCCAGAGATTCGAGATCTTTGAACTCTTCTCGATCTGGGGAAAAGTGTGAGATGAACGGTGGGTCGTGTACGCACAGGTCGTCGCACTAACCCGGACCTTCGGCTCAACGTGAGTTCTGATGGAAGTATGGTATGTTGTACGTGGGATGTTAGACGTGGGATTTTAGACGTGGTTATATCACAGATCAGATCAAATCAGATCAGCTCAGATCAGCTCAGAACCAAACCTTGGAAGGAGGTTCCCAGGTTGGTCCTAAACTAAAGCAAATCCAGACTTTGTATGTTGTACACCTTCAGTCTCACGTGCCTCGAGTATCTCGTGCCCCTCCGATGCCCTAATCTCACGGCATAATGTGACCAGTCTATTGCGATACATCACTAACTCCGACATTATACTTAACTATCTGGCAGCCATACTTGTCCATCTCTACCAACCACACAACACAGATCAACGAATTATGAAGTACAGGGCTCTAACATCTCGCCAGACAATAACAGTGCTCCAGTCATTGGTCGTATCTCACTGCCATGAAAAGCTGCATATTTAAGCGTCAACTTCCAACTTCAACACCCGCGGTGGATGTACCGTTAAAGGCCAGAACATCCATACAGCCACTATCACAAATCTAATACATTACCCATTTAAGTAGGCTACCAGACAAAGGGCATGAATAGTAAAACACTTTTATTTATTCCTCCGTCGGGGAGAAAAGAAGGTTCAAGTCCGGGGGTGGGACCCAATGAAAGCCAGCCGGTCGGTTGAGGGATACTTGAGCTGGCAGTTTGAAGATGGAAACATTCGACAATGCGAGCGGTCACCCTCCTGATCTCTGCCAGCGCTAAAGATCGCCCAACGCAGTTCCTGAGTCCATAAAGAAACGACAGCATACAGCCAATGACCCTGTTTATGGCGATATCAATGATGAACCATACGCAGGCAGAGGAGTCAATGAAGCCAATCCTAGACTTTGCTCTCCATTCTGGTACCACTGCGTCCCAAAATCTGACAACCTTTGCCGGATTTGGAGAGTTGATGCAGAGTATGGACACGCTGGAGACCATGTCGCTAAACCACTATCAAGCGGCTGCCTCCATGTCGTCGCGTATTGGTCCCCATGTCAATTTTCAGGGGACGGCTAACAAACACAGGCTCGTTGAGGTGCTCAATGATATTATGCTTACCCTTGATCAGAAGACTAATTCTTCACTTTCACTGCCCCCGCTACTTGTCTGCCTCACCACTCCATTCATGTACTCGAAGCACCTTCCGGATATGGATCAAGACGGTGGCCCCGGATCCTCTCGGTCACACTCGCGTGGCGTGATGGATTGTGGCATGTCATTTATAAACGAGCATGGGCAGATGAGAATGAACCATCTACCGTAGCAGATATCTGAAAGGAGACGTGTTCGAGCCAGATCCTATTAGCACATTCTGAGGGAAGGACAACTATGATCGGCTTCTTAAGTTCAAAAAAGAAGTGGATCCCGATAATATCTTCACGGTGCATCAGGGAATAGGCTGGGAGGAAAGTGATAGGCGGTATAGTTACTATCCCAGCCTAGTTTGAGATCTAGGATCTACCCCTTGCATACTTCCCGTGTTATAGTAATATATCACATACAATATACATACTAGCACATACCCAGCTGGAAGACAGAAAGATGTGAAAAACTGTGGAGAACTTTGATCTGGCATGAATTTACGGTGAGCTACTTTTTCCGTTAACATTCCTTGTTATACTTTGGTTTCTTCACCGGATATATAGTGATTATAACAGGTCATTTCCATTTAAATGATTGAACTCCGGTCTCTAAAAGCATTAGAAGCTTCAAATTCAAGGCTCCCTTCATAATTAACAATGTCAAAATCGTATATGGTGGCTTTTTCGTCAACTATAGGAGGCCACACTCTAGAGACGGAATGAGGTCTTGCAGTACTTGGAAAATGAAGGGGTCCAAACCATTGACACAGCTGAGATATATAGTTATGGCGGATGCAGCCACCCGCTTCACCATCGACACGAAATTTAGCGGAAGGCTATCACAACTGGAGCCAACTGAGGAGAACATTGTGAAAAGTTACGAAGAGAGAAAACCAGCAGTGTATGGCCCTAGAAAAAAAATGTGCTGAAAATGTATGTTAATTGATGTTAGTTATAGGTTGATGTGTTTTACATACATGCCCCATGTCGTGGCACCCCAGTTAAAACATCCTGTCGGGAATCAATACGCTGTACAAAACCGGCAATCGGGTTATCAAATTTCAACGCAGATGAGGTCGAAGAGGTTATTCGAGTGGCAGGGGAAAACAACTTCGTGATACCTTCCGTTTACCAGGGCAACTATAATGCCATTTCTCGGCGTACCGAGACAGAGCTGATGCTAGTCCTACGCAAGTGGAACGTGGCGTTGCGTTCTATGCATACAGCCCAATTTCAGGTGGATTTCTGGCCAAAGCCCCCGAACAACTCCTGGACTTACACGGCCAAGATGTACAATGCCTTATACAACAAACCTTGCATGTTGAAAGCACTGGCAGCTTTTGTCCAATTGTCAAAGGATACTGGGATTTCGCAGGCAGAGTTGGCCTACCGATGGCTTCATATCCAACTATTTGAGCTAGAACGATGATCTTCACTAGTGTCCTTTATATCTCATCTTCACTTTTGATACCAAGTACTCCGTCAGTTAATTAGACCTGTCTAGGGGATATTTAAACTTTAATCTCGTATTGATTTAATTAACTAAGTGGTAGCCCTACATTGTACATTGCCTTGACAAATTCGACATATTCTACGCGCGATCGTGAAAGACGCCACATTCCAATAGATGCAGAACTTGGTAAGATCCATGGATTATCCAAAATAGGATAAGGTTTTCCCTTACAGGGCTTGTCTCTCTGTATATAATTGATCATCCCTTCCGTCTCAAGTATATCCGACCGTCCATGAACTTTTAAATGCCACTGGGCAGAATACGGCAAATTCGCTAAGATCAACTTTTCGAACATCCTTGACGGCTTCAAATGGCAGCACCTATGGCCGAGGAGCCTCGGCCTTCCACAATTCCCTTGTGGCGTATGGCGTTGAAGACCGGCATCAGCGAGCACAATATCGACCACACATACCCAGGGTCTGGCACGGAAGATGACCCATATGTTGTTTCCTGGCTTACCAACGACAAGCTCAATCCATTCGCCTTCAGTAAATCCTCGAAATGGACCATCACGATCATTGTTTCTCTTGCAACTCTAACGGTTTCTCTCATCTCCTCTGCCTATACGGGAGGCCTGGTGGAAGTTGTCAAATCCCTTGATACGAATGAGGAGCTCTCATTGCTGGGTGTCTCTGTGTTTGTTGTCGGTTTTGCTGTTGGCCCTCTCCTGTGGGCACCGCTGAGTGAAACATACGGACGTCGTCCCGTATTTCTCATAAACGCGATCGCTTTGACAGCTTTTACAGCCGGTGCAGCCGCTTCGCCAAACATACAATCTCTCATCATCTTTCGGTTTCTCGCTGGTAGCTTTGGGTCAGCGCCAATGGCCATTTCTGGTGGTGTGATCGCCGATACATTCCCAGCTGTCGAGAGAGGGTTTGCGGCTGGTCTGTATGCAGGTGCTCCATTTATGGGACCGGCTCTTGGGCCTGTTATTGGAGGCTTTTTGGCCGAGGGCGCAGGCTGGCGCGAGGTGGAATGGCTCTTGGTCGCATTATCGGGCGCTATGTTGGTAGCCATGTACCTATTCCTACCCGAGACCTATGCGCCGGTCCTCTTGCGAGAACGCGCCCAGGCCCTCTCAAAGACTACTGAACGCGTGTACCGCAGCAAAGTGGACATGGGACAAGGGAAGCTTCCTATGACCAAAGTATTGAGCGTTGCCCTATCACGGCCATGGGTCTTGCTCTTTTGTGAGCCAATCGTGCTATTGTTGTCTTTGTATCTCGCTATTATCTATGGTACACTGTACATGTTTTTGGCAGCATATCCTATTGTCTTTGGAAAGGTTCGTGGATGGGGCGAGGGTACCACGGGCCTAACATTTCTCGGAATCATGGTTGGGATTATGGGTGCCACTGTGTATACAGTCCCCATGTATCAACGGTACAAAAGAAAGTTCCTACAGTCAAAAGGCAATCTATCACCAGAGGATCGTCTACCGGACGCATTCTTAGGAGCCATTGCCCTTCCTGTGGGTCTTTTCTGGTTTGCATGGACTAATTCCCCGTCTATTCACTGGATGGTTCCCATCGCTGCAGGAGTTCCATTTGGTTTTGGAATGGTGACGGTATTCCTTGCTGTTTTGAACTACCTCGTCGATGCCTATACCATCTATGCCGCTTCCGTGTTGGCAGCAAATTCTCTATTGCGATCTGTGTTTGGAGCTGCCTTTCCGCTCTTCACAAACTACATGTATCGGGATCTGGGAATTCACTGGGCCTCTTCAATTCCAGCATTTCTTGCCCTAGCGTGTCTTCCGATGCCATTTTTATTCCATCGGTATGGTTCCCCGATTCGTGAGCGCAGTCACTATGCCGCTGAAGCCAGCGCCATCATGAAACGATATCTTGAAACAGCTGAGATGGAGTCAGAGGCCAGGCAGCAGACGCAAGTGAGGAGTGTGCGTCAAACTTCAGAAAAAAAGTAACCCATTGTCCATTACAACCATGAATGTTAAATATCGCGAGATTGTCATTTAGCGGATATATGAGAACGCATAGAGCGGGTGCACCAGCCATTTGATCAGCTTCCCTTTAGACAGCAGCAAATCTAGGGGCCCCTTGCATACGGATCTAATGTCTAATGTGCCGCACTTGTCGTGGAATCTCCTTGCTTGCCTTGCTTTGTATGATCCGATACAGGTAGAGCCATTTGGTTTAGAACTAGGCACATAGTGTGTACAAGTTGGGGATTATATATTTTCAAAAGTCGTCTGCACATGTCAAGCCTTTTTCCGTCTATACTCTAGCTACAACACTAATTAAGGGGGAAATATTATAGAAAGACCCAGAAAAGAGTACGAAAAAGTCATGACAGCGTTTGTGGCTGACTCTTCTATACATAAATCGAAAAGCTCAAATTAATAGTGCGTACAAACTGTTCTGCCATATTCTTCAGGCCACTAACATTTTGATTTGGTTATCTTATCGCCACTGGATATTTTCCCATCACCGAACTTCCAGATCTCTCCCATTCATTCATTTTGAACTTTGCTTGGCTGTTACTCCCTCTTTTTCCATCTGCAGGCGATTTCCAGTATGGCTACTAAATGTGCTGCCTCATCGAGGCTGGCCCTACCTGCAGTTCTGCGCAATGTTTTCCGCTCTCAGCTCACCAGTAACTTGCGCGCTTCTTCAATAATCCCCTATCACCGACCTCTTGCCTCTCGTCCTCTTTCCCCTTCAAATGTCCATCTTCAACGATTCTTCAATTCAATGCCGCGCTTGGGTGATACCCAGAATGACGAACCAACGCCTGCAGCCCCTGAAACCCCGGCCGCCGCTGATAACACCGTGCCTTCTCAACACAAAACACCGAAAATGAAAGATTACGACTCATCCGGCAAGAAAAGTGGATGGAATAATCATAAGCGTCACCCCAAGGACCAGCAAAGGGACCCAGATAGTACTGGAAGAACCGACAGAGAGCGCAGAGCTTTCCGCAACGAGACTCGCAGGGAGGCCAAAAAGGAACCTCGCAAGGATTGGCAAGACAGAGCCCAAAAATCGAAACAGTTCTCGGAGAATAGGGGAAAGAGAAAGCCTGAGAGCTGGCAAGTGCAAAAAGCGGCTTTGAAGGAGAAGTTCGCCGGTGGTTGGAACCCACCCAAAAAGCTTTCACCTGATGCACTCGATGGAATCCGTCATCTTCATGCGAAGGCTCCAGAACAATTCACGACTGCTGTCCTCGCAGAGGAGTTTGAGATGTCCCCGGAAGCTATTCGCCGAATTTTGAAGAGCAAATGGCGCCCATCGGAGGACGAGATGGAGAATCGGCGCAAGCGATGGGAGAACCGACACGATAGAATCTGGAGTCGCATGGCTGAGCTTGGTCTTCGCCCTTCGACTGATCGGACGCGAACACTTTCCGACTTCCATGTGCTGTATGATGACAACAATCGCGAGCGAAGATAGTCGTCTGTGTATATTATACTATGTTATATATGTTTTAATTTGCGCCTGTACAATAAATTAATATCATCTCTGACCTTCTTCTGCTTTAATCTTGGGAATGAACCACATATTTACTATATGTTGTAACTAGTACTAGTTCGTTACAGTGAAGGGTGGGTATCATATGTCATTTAGCCCGTAGTTCGGGGTGGAGCTAGGAGCAAGGATATCATCGCCACGCAACTCCCTCGCCAACACATCTTCAACTCTGCAACCAGCATGCTTCATTCGGGTTGACAGAATGCTACTGGCGGCACATTTCACCAAGCTTCGACCTAACTACAGCTCATCGTGCCGGCAATTCCCCCCAGGCCTTGGCCCCCCTCGAACTGCAGCCCACATGCTGACACAACCGCCATGCCATCCAACATCCAAGTCTTCGTGAAATGGAAGGACCAGACTATATTTGCAGGAGAGAATGTGGAATGCACTATAACATTCAAGAACGTGGCCGCCACTGGTGCTGATGCCAATAATGGCGGCGAAGGAAGTCAACATTCACGGAAGATCTCTCGAGTCGCGAACCACACACCCAACTCGAACTCGGAATCTTTCTTCGGGTTCAAATCACCACAAGCTCTCTTTTCTGGTCGGCGATCATACTCGACCAGCTCGCAACGAAAGCCTTCTCACCGGGCGGCCTCGTCCCTGAGCTCTCCGTTGGTCGGCTCCCATAGCTTCCCTCCGAACAACGGCCCCTCCACACCACGAGCATGGCAACCGGGCCACAACCATAAACGATCCGTCTCCATCCTATCCATTGATAGCGAAGGTCAACTCGATCCGACGCCTTCCCCGCACCATTATAATCGACATCAGCCAGCCAGGGGTCATGGGCGCTCGGCGAGTCTCCAGGTTCTGCCGCGAAGGAACAATAGCTATGAGGATTCTTACAAAAAAGGTAGATGGTGGACAGTACAAATATGTGATTAAGGGGCTCTTTAACTAATAACTGTCCCTCATTAGCGAGATCCCCCTCTCATGCCTTTCCATTTCCATTGACCGAGGCTCCTAACGAGCATCCCAATGGCAGCCTGAGAGTTGATACCTCCCACTTGGGGCGAGCCAGCGGCGCTGGCTCTCTAGCAACTAGTCCAATAGGCGCAGTAGAGCCATTGCGTACACCTTCACGACGGCCTCAACCACCTCCCCTCGATTTTAAGTTTCCAGCGACGCCTTCGACCGATTCAACTAACAATCGCACTGTGCATACTCCATCACCAAAGTCGGCGACAACAAACGGTACATCATCAACTGGAGGGAGACCCACTGTTAGAGACGCACATGGGCTGACTGGGCCGGCGCACCAGCAACTAACCCGGATTATATCAGCCACAAGCGTGAATGGGAGCAACCGGAGCAGCGGCGAGTTCTACTCCGCCAGCGACCACTCCACCGAGACCCTCGGGTCCGAGTACACAAATTATTCCGTACAGGGTGCGCGAGCTCCCACTCCCATGCGGCACGCGCGGCACCAATCGAGTGTAGTTGCATCTCCCACCAAAGCCTCCAACAGCCAGGCGCTGCTGATGGGCTATGCGCAGGTTAATGCATCATTCACGGTCGATGGATCGTTAGTGAACCAGTCAGCATTCGACGAAGTCAAGCGAAAGGGAGTTGTTGGTGGCCAACCGGGTTCAGGCGGACTTCCTGGTCGCCCAACGCCAACAGCCGAGCGACCACGTAAAACTGGTGGGTTTTGGGGCGCACTCAAATGGAACACCATTGAGGAATCTATCAATGGCCTTCTTTCAAACAACGAATTGGATGGTCTACGAGAAATGCGTGGTGTTACATCGTCGAGATCAATTCCGCTGTTGTCCACCTCACAATCGCTGCTTTTTGTTGACCTCCGACTGGCACCAGGGGAGGAACAGTCATATTCCTTCTCATTCACCCTTCCCAAAGGACTCCCGGCGAGTCATAAAGGGAAAGCAATCAAGATCTCATATAATTTAGTCATTGGGACCCAGCGCACTAGCGGACCCAACGAGCCCCAAAAGGTCAACCGCATCAACATACCCTTCCGCGTTTTCAGCGGCGTGAATGGTAAGTTACATCCTCCACTTCGCTTTCAATCCCAATTCTCACGTTTTTATAGAAAAGGGAGATATCCTTGGGCATGACTTAATGTCACCTTACGTACTTCTACGGGATGAAGCGAAGGTGCAAAAGGTTGGGCCAGTGATGCCTGTGATGACAAAAAACCAAAGTATTAGCAAATCTCACCATTCCGCGGCTGATTTCCTTGGTTTTGTGGATGAAATCTTGGACCAACGTGCGCGTTCCAACACGCTGTTCCCACCTGGTGCTATGCCCTCGAGACGACCTAGCGTTGAAGGCTTACCCCAGTTGCTTACTACCAAGGATATCATCGACTTCGCTATCCTTCGCAGCAACCAGGCCGTGAACTCTCGCCGGAGTCCCAATCGCTTTGAGATTGCCCGCGAAGGTAAACGTATTGCAGTGGTCGTCTTGAACCGACCAGTTCACCGACTTGGAGAGACAATCATCGCCACTATGGATTTTGGCAATGCCACAATTCCATGCTACGCTGTACGTGCCTCGCTAGAGACGTCCGAAAAAGTCACCCCTACTTTGGCCATCCGGTCCAATGCTAGCATCCACCGAACCACGCGGCGCATTCATGCCTCCCTGTTCGAGAACACACTCCATGCCACCCGGGTGGCTTTCAGCCCTGCTATCCCTATCACAGCCACACCCTCAATATTGACGAGCGGTGTAACTCTTGACTGGGAACTGCGGTTCGAATTTGTGACATCTAGTGTTCGAGGTGAGCAAGGGGCCCAACCCTCGGGCACTCGGTTACTCGAGGCCTTTTCATCGGATGATCGTGGCACAGTGTTATCTGCTATGGAGCATTTGAACTGTGAATCATTTGAGATCGCTATCCCGTTGACTGTTTACGGAGAGACTGTCCGAGAACGATTGCCCGAGGAGAATGAAGGCTACCCAATCTAGAAGTCTAGACTTACACTAGATGTACACATGTGCTTGCCTGCCGTGCAGGTTATGCTTGATTTTATTTTGTGTGATTAAATATTCCCCTTGTACCATCGAGGGAGAACCCCCCTTCCCCCCACCAGGCTCTGGATTCCCCCTGTATAATTGATATAAAAATTGAATTCGTAAAATAACTACATAGTTCTACTCGTCTACTAAGATAACTAACATATGTAACTATGTAACTAAAATATACTCTTCTAGCTGTGACGTATATGCGGTAACTGGGGCAACGCGGTCAGTCAACGGATCGGATCTCACATTATCAACTTGGGAGCTGAAACACGATAACATCTCTCTCCTTGCGCGTTCCAAAGTTTCTCTCAGACATATATCATCCAGAATCATTGTCAGGTACGGTCCATTGGCATTATCTACATGTCAACACATCTCCATATCTGATGACATTCCTCAAATCTTGGATAGCAACTGATATCTGACATGGGAATGTAGGCACATCGCGATCAGCGCAAACCCGAAAAGGATTCTTTTTTTTTTCTCGAGCCTGAAAGAATATGGCTTCGTTCATCACCACCATGTCTGTCCCCGCTACCCCTCCCGTTGTCCATTTCCCTTCCCCTGGGGAGCCTACCTCTTGCTCCCCGCAATCCCACCCCCCTTCCGTTATCAGCCCTCCCGCTTTATATCAGACCACTCGCACTTCTCATATCCCCCTCTCAGAGCCCCCATCTTATCTGTCGCCGGCGGTGCGCGCACTAAAACAAGGCTGCTTTGGACTAACACCTCCCAGCAATGCACGCACACGCGCCCCCTTCAAGCCCCGCTCGGCCGCCAAGGGCACAAGCAGTTATCAGCTACGACAGTTCGCCGAGGCCACACTTGGAAGTGGTAGCTTGCGCAAAGCTGTAAAGCTGCCCGAAGGCGAAGATCAGAATGAATGGCTCGCCGTCAACAGTAAGGCACATCTTCCGGCGTTGTGCTGGGTGCATCTGCTAATGGTTTGGCGATTTAGTTGTCGACTTCTACAACCAGATCAACCTTCTCTACGGGTCAATAACTGAGTTCTGCTCACCGCAGACATGTCCCGAGATGAAGGCTACAGATGAGTACGGTGCTTCCTCGGCAAGTCGTTGTCTCCCGGCTTACAAGTTTGGATAGGTTCGAGTACCTCTGGCAAGACTCGGAGAATTTCAAGCGGCCGACCAAGATGTCTGCCCCGGAATATATTGAGCACTTGATGGCCTGGGTGCAGAGCAACGTCGACAACGAACAAATGTTCCCTAGCCGGATCGGTATGTCTCAGCGGTCATCCGTTTATATAGACCTATTGCTCACCCGTGTTTTCCTTCCAGGTGTCCCATTCCCCAAGACCTTCCCCAGTCTTCTCCGTCAGATCTTCAAGCGTCTATACCGTGTCTACGCCCACATCTACTGCCACCATTATCCAGTGGTAGTGCACCTCGGCCTCGAGCCTCATCTCAACACCAGTTTCAAGCACTATGTCTTGTTCATTGATGAGCACAAGCTGGCCAGTGGGAAGGACTTCTGGGGACCGCTGGGTGATTTGGTGGATAGTATGTTACGAAGCGACTGAGGATTGAATGGGGAACCTGGGTAGTAATTGTGTTTTGCATCTGATCTCCGCAGTCGGGGATACTGGCTGGTTGACGGAAAAGATATCTCAACGGCGTTTCGGGTGCGGGCGTGCATTGAAGTATTTTAGCTGGACTTTCTGGCGTTTAGGGATTGACCAGACGCGAAGACCGAAACCATGGATCCATGGATATTTCTTCAACTCCGATTTTTATTTTTATTTTTGTAAACAGGACGTTTCTATATTTGGTTTGCGGGTTATGGTGTGTAGACTTCGATGTTATACTTCCATGCTCCTGCAATCAGCATAGTGTATAGTTCATTCACCCGTGGACATTTATAGAATCAACAACACAGCACCAGTGTAGAAATTCTGCAAGTTATTTACATCCGAATCACCTCCAAGATGTCGAAGCTATGTCGAAACCGCCAAGCAATTATACCAACACGTGACTTAGTCCTTGTGTGCGTGCACGTGACGACGGGAACATTCGGCCCGGAGGTCTCAACCTTGCATCCTTGACTGAAGCAAGCACTCCGAACGTCGATATCACTTCCCCATTCAACCCTCAGCGTCCCTCCTCCCTCCCCGAGGCCACTCCTCCAGCCAATTGCACAATGATGTCCGCTCGCTTCGCCCGCGCTGGCCTGCGTGCCACCCAGTTCTCCGTCCCTCGCACCGCCGCCGTTAACGGCATCAGGTCCTATGCCACCCCGGCCCAGGAGACCCGCGCTCCCGTCGCCCTGTTCGGCGTTGATGGCACCTACGCCACTGCTCTGGTATGCACCTCCACTGCCGCTGTCTTGTCGCGACTGTTTGCTGGACTTTTCGCGACAAACAGCCCCCGTCTTTCCCCGACCCCTCCCACAGTTGTGTTTCCACTCTTCAAAAGCAATCTTCAAATCTTAATCACGAACACCCGCAACCAAACCCCCCGAATGAATTCCGCCTCTAACAATGATTACCAATAGTACACCGCTTCCACCAAGTCCGCTGCTCTCGACCAGACTGCCCGTGCTATCGCCAGCCTCGGCGAGACCATCAAGGCTGACAAGAAGCTCGTCTCTATCCTCCGCGCCCCTATGCTCACCATCGCCGACAAGAAGTCCATCGTCGAGGAGCTCGCTAAGGTCGCCGGTGCCGATAAGGCCGGTATCCTCAAGAACTTCCTCGACACTCTCGCCGAGAACAACCGTCTCGGTTCCCTCGAGGGTGTCTGCGAGAAGTTCGCTACCCTGATGGGCGCTCACCGCGGCGAGATCGACCTCAACATCACCAGTGCTCAGGTACGAATCCCATGAGCTGCGTTTCGGTCTCAGCAGAAAGAACAGAAGAAAAAAAAATCAAGGATCTAAGCTAAAACTTCGTCCGCAGGAGCTCGATGCCAAGACCATCTCTCGTCTGGAGAAGGCTGTTTCCAAGTCCGAGTTCAGCCAGGGCAAGAAGCTCAAGGTTGTTGCCAAGGTGCGTTTCTAATGGATGAAACCCTTTTGTTTTGTGTCTGTTTACTAACCCTGTTGATCAGGTCAACCCCGACCTCGTTGGTGGACTCGTCGTTGAGATTGGCGACCGCACCGTTGACCTTAGCGTCTCTTCCAAGATCGCCAAGATGAACAAGGCTCTTTCCGATGCTTTGTAAATGTAAATTAGCCTTAGCGTTTGAGGGGATGGTTAGATTATAGCATATCGTCCCGGATGAACGGTAGCGTTCGTAGGGGGAAAGGGGGTTCTAACATTCCCTTTTCTACTCTCATTTTGTTTTGTTCTCACTACTTGTCAATTGCACAAATTCATCCATAATTGGTGTCTTATAGATCCATCCGTTCTTTGCACTGGTCCTACAAGGTACGCTGGGCACCTTGGCCTAGCAGGTTGATAGTCCGCATTATCCCTCAACCTGCTTACCTCGTGTCTGCCTGCCTTCCGTATCGCGTGGACGGGACGTGCTGTTTTGATCGGTCAATCTGCGCGATGACTTATTTTTATATCCTGATTCCCTCCTAGGGGTGTGGAAGATGTGATATGTCTAGATACAGGTGGCAGATAGGTTCTCTTCTATTTGTATGGCTAATGATATTATTGACGTTTACTTCACTATCAAATGCACTAGAAATCAAGACTATACTCCGAAAATACTATGTGTTGGAAATGATAGACAGCAGGAGATGCAACACGTGTAAAAAATAGGAAAGAAACAGGACAGTAACCAGAGAAGGAGATCGTATTATCATGTCGAGAAGCAACCACATGGGGAAATGACCAGTTGAAAAGAGAAAAGAGAAGAGAAAAGAGAAAAAGACGGAAGGGACAGCTGGATTAAGATTGTCCATTCCGCTCATTCTCCTTGTCAGCCCTCGTCTCAAACTCGTCCTCGTACGCAGCAATCGAAGCCGAGCTGCGCACCCGCTGCAGCTGACTCTCGACATAGTGATCAACATGATCTTGGTTATCAGGGACGGCAGCACTTCCTCTACGACTGCCGGCACGACTAGGACCCCGACTCTCATCATCTTCATCCAAGACCGTCGACGCAGCAGGCGTAGCATCACCAGAGTAGAAGTCACTACGGTTACCGATGGAACGAGTAGTCGACGAGCGACGGACAGACGGACGGTCCGAGCCACGCGGTCGTCCAGAACGAGAGAAGATATCGTCGAAGTAGTGCGACGCAGCGGCAAAGGGCGACCGTGGCGTCTGCGGTAGACGGCAATTGATACCGGTGTCGTGGATGATCTTGGCGATTAATCCTGTCCATCCGCACTGGTGTGATGTCCCCAGTCCGCGACCGCTGTCGCCGTCGAAGAACTCGTGGAACCAGAGATTGTCTTTCCAGTGCTCGTCGAAATCGAGTAGGTCTGAGCCGGCGTTGACGGCACGCCGGCCTTCGTCGTTGCGGGCGAAGAGGTGCTGCATGCGGTGCTGTAGTTCTTCTGCTACGTGTCCGAGGTGCATGTAGTCGCCTGAGCCCTTGGGACACTCGACCTGCAGGGTGTCGCCGTAGAACATGTGGAAGCGGAGGAGGGACTCGACGAGGAGGAAGTTGACGCAGAGCCAGATGGGTCCGCGCCAGTTGCTGTTGCCGCCGAAAAGGGAGGAGTCGGAGTCTCCGGGGACGTAGTTAACTTTGTAGGTTTGCCCGTTGACATCCATGGAGTAAGGGTTATCTTGGTGGAACTTGGACATGGAGCGGATACCGTGCTCGGACAGGAACTCGGTTTCGTCGAGCATTCGCTCGAGGATCTTGACAAGACGGTCTTTGCTGACAAGGGCTAGTAAGAGTCGGTCGTCTTTGCCGCGGCGCTTCATGCTGGCGATGTTGCGCTCGGCTATGTCCGGCTTGTTCTCGATGAACCAGTCCACTCGCCGCTTGAACGAAGGGAACTTGTTGATAAGCTCGGGCTCGAGGGTGAGAACCGCATATAGCGGGATTAAACCAACGAGGGACCTAATAGGTAGCTGTTGGGTCCATGGTCCGCCATAGGAGATGGCATCGTAGTAGAAGTTGTCTTCTTCGTTCCAGAGTGACTGCACAGTGTCATCGCCCGAACGGAAGGTCATTGCATCACTGATGAGCAGGAAGTGCTCGAAGAACTTGGATGCAATGTCTTCGTATATGCGACGGTGCTTGGCCAGCTCCAGGGCTATGTTGAGCATGGTAAGGGAGTAGAAGGCCATCCAACCAGTGCTGTCAGCTTGCTCAAGCACACCTCCAGTGGGCAATGGCTCAGAGCGATTAAACAGACCGATGTTATCGAGTCCCAAAAAGCCGCCCTCAAACACATTCTTGTCACCAGAGTCTTTACGGTTCACCCACCAGGTGAAGTTAAGCAGCAGCTTTTGGAATACGCGTTCCAGGAAGTCCAAATCCTGTCGTCCGTACATCTTACGCTCAATCTTGAACGTGCGGAACACAGCCCATGCATGCACGGGAGGGTTCACATCGCCGAAGTTCCACTCGTATGCAGGCAGCTGACCGTTCGGGTGCATGTACCACTCACGGGTGAGAAGGTCGAGCTGCTTCTTTGCGAAATCGGGATCCATCATAGCCAGTGGGATACAGTGGAATGCAGTGTCCCATGCGGCGAAGAATGGGTACTCCCAAGAGTCCGGCATCGATAAGATGTCGTCGATATACAAATGGCGCCACTGCTCATTACGAATGCCCTTTCGGCCAGGCGGAGGGGGATTTCAGCCGGGTCACCGTTGCTCCATTGATCCCAGATGAAGTTGTAGTACTGCTTGCACCACATCATTCCGGAGAAGGCTTGACGCTGGATGTTGCGAAGATCGTCACTCATGGGGAGAGGGTTGAGATGGTAGTAGAAATCATCAGCCTCGGCACGGCGCTGTTCAATCACATCGTCCAGGACTTCTTCATCCAGGACTTCTTCCTTCTTGCGGGACACTCTAAAACGGACAACGGCGCATTCGCCGGGAGGGACTCCCTCGCCGTTGTTGAAGGCGTACCACGCAGCGAACTTGGTGCCTTCGTTGTCCGGGTTGATAGCGCCCTTCTCCTCTTCGACAATATGGCGATGGAATGCGTCTTTGACATAGGGTGTGTGGTTCTCAGTACCCCATAGGAATTTGTCATTACTCTCGTTCTCGGTGAACATCAGCTGGGGCTGAATATCGTCATCACTAGAGCCAACTGGAGGCGATGGTGCAAAGGAGACATATCGCTCGCCGATTGTGCTGTGCTCCGATTTGGCTACCATCGGTCCCTCCTTTTTGATAGATGGTCTTTCCTGTTTCTTCTCATCGCCCCAGGCCCATGTGTTTCGGAACCAGACGTGAGGGACGATGTGTAGATGAGCAGGCTCTGGGCCGCGATTGTAGGCAATTACACGGAAGAGCAATTCTTCCTCATCGTCGGCCTCCTTAGCAGTCTCGACGAAGATATCCCAGTAGCGGTTATCGTCGAAGATGCCAGTATCAAGGATCTGATACTCTTTCTCCAAACGTGAGCGCTTTGCGTTCTCATCAATGAGGTCTTGGTATGGGAACTTTCTCTGGGGGTATTTGTAGAGGAATTTCATGTAAGAATGCTATATATACTTCGGGGTCAGCATTGTTAAAAGGTGAGCTGGATCGGATTTTAAATGAGTTTACCGTTGGCGTGTTGTCCACATGGAAATGTGCTTCCTTGACACTCTCACCATGATTACCCTGAGGGTTCGACAAACCGAACAGGCGTTCCTTCAGGAAGTCGCTGTACTCCAGTCAGATTCCATTGCGGGGGAGGCAGACCCACAACATTCAAGCAGAGGCTCGACTTACTCTTCGCCATTCCAGAACGCAAAGGCAATGTTCTGTATACCATGTGTATCAGATACACCTGCAATTCCATCTTCACCCCAACGGAAAGTTCTCGATCTTGCATGATCGTGGGTGAAGTAGCTCCAGGCGTCGCCATCTGCACTGTAATCCTCTCTGACTATACCATGACAAATCCGGTATTAGCCTGTTGTTTCTCAATTCGGTATGTTTCTCAAAGCTCTCACCTGTGGCCCACTGCCTCTCCGCCTATACCAATCCAAGAGCTTTTAGCACTGCTAATATGTATGTTCCCGAGCCATCCAAGGCCTCGACTTACCACATATGGTCCCCAGCGCTGTTTTTGCTCAGTTAGCAAGAACTTCTTGGAGCTAGTTCAAAAGTTGGATAGGTCATTACCTTCCAATACTTGGTTCTCTCGCGGTCTTCCTTTAGGCGCTTCTCTTCCGCTGTGATGACTTCTTTCCCATCGATTAAGACCATATTGGCAATTGAGAAGAAACCGAGTCAATGCCAGATCAATAACAATATATATGGAGATGGAGAGGAGGGGAAAGAAGTTAAGAGGGGGAATGTCCCTGCAGTCCGTGCCAACCTGGGCCCTGGAGACGAAAATGACGTGAATCACCGGTTCGACGGGTCCACAGCCATCGATTCGGGTGGATAAATCGGGTCGGATTGGTGGAATGGAGACCTCTGATTGGTGGAGATGATCATGTTCGGTTCGGGCCTGGAAGGTGCACAGGTCATGGACCTTGATTTTGCCGAATATCAATTGACTTGATATTAGTAGCTATATACAACATATACAACATATATGCAGCTATACGTACCGGATTTTCCCTGGCGGGGCTTTCCTATTTGAGCTGCCGCCGCTTTTATGAGGGTGCTCAGGCTCAGGCTCACTGAGTAGATGTCAGCACGGGCTCAGATCAGTGATCATGCTCAGATCAGTCACGTGTAGAATGACTCAGTCAAGAATTCTTCTCCAAAGCAACCTATCTCATCCAGTCAATCAATATCCTGATTCCTGTGGCTCACTATTCTCGGTGACGTCTGCACCCGATATGTTCTGTGTAGCAGCTCCTATTAGCAGTGTAAGGATGGCTATGGTATCTGATAGTTTGCTTTATTTGAACAACTTGATACTAATTTCTATGGCTCTCTCTCCTGTTTCCCTAAGCCTGGGTAGCATGCGTCTCTCGGTAGAGTAAATCCCTTAAGCTATTTTCGGCAAAGTTCTTTAGCAGCCCGTGGGAGCAAACATCAGACTCATCATAGCCGCTTTCTCATTTACTTACATCTATCCTGGACTGGAGAGTTTAATTCGTCGAATTCACTGAATCTTCACGTGTTTGACAGCTAACACGCATTTACCTCACATACATTCGGCCAATATAGAGTACCGCCCCAATACTCTAAAAGATTGCAGCTTCTACCAGCAGTTAATAGGGCGTGGGCGATACGCTCCCCATTCTAGCAGGGAAATGGTCGCCCTCTTCGTTAGCGAATATACCTCACAAGGTCGTAGGAGTAAATATCGGAGTAACCATCAAGCCTGCTATAGGAGACTTGGAGAATATGGGAGTGGAAGATATTATCGACTGCACTCGGAAATGGAATTGGGCTAAGAGAAAGACTACTGGCAGGGGGCCATAATAAAATTTCGTGGAATTGATCTAAGCCTGTGCGCAAGCTATTAGTGCCCCGGTCTAGGAGAAACATCCCTCCCCCAAAGAGATTGGTTTTATAAGGGAGGATCAATGAAGACGATTGTAGGAGAAACGAAAGATATATATGGGCTTTGAGGAGCAGTTGACACACCGCACAGCCCTCCTATGACATCCCTCGCCTACAGGAAAGGACTAGTTTTCTATCATTATCAACAGAGAGAATAACCCAGGAATAATACATAAGCTACAAATTTATGCCCCGCAGCTCCCCAGGAGCTGACAGCTCAGTATTTGAAGCCCGTGCTCTCTGGTTTCTGCGCCTTGACCAGGGAAACAGGGACAATGACGGAATCGAGTGGATAGTTGGGCGTTCAATTTTGGATAGTAGGCCTATGATTGGACGCCACAGTAAGCCCATTCGCAACTCGCCTGCTTATCGTTCGGCTCGGGCCTGAAGGTGCAGGACATTTTCCGGACCTATATCTTCAGTTACTCTGTATAAGAGGTATACATTACCCCCAGGGTATAAACATCCAGATATCCCGGTCTGCTAAGTCTGATTGAAAGAACCTCAATTTCAGGCACAAAGATAAAAAAAAAAAAAAAAACATGAGCAATCGCAGCACCGTAGCACTGCAAACGAGGGACGGCGTTGGGAATAGAAATTCCATGGCCAGATCCATACAATAGGGGGTTTCTCAAAAGGATGGCAGGGAAAAAAAGTTAAACTAAAAAAAATCATCCCAATAAAATAACCACGCCGACTGGGACATATTGCGTCTATCAGACGCGGCGCGGGTCCAATATCACGGATCATTGAGAGAGTTCCGCCCTGAATGCGCTCGTCCCAGCCTTAATCTAGTTCCAACGTTCCGACTCCAGGATTGGATGGCCTTTTTTCTTTCTTTCTGACCTTCCAGATCTTAACATTTGCAGATGTTCGGAATTCAGTTGTTCCCCCGCTGCTCAGACTGTTGCGGCTGCTGCTCGTTGTAGGATCCTCCCTGGGAAGCTGTTACACAGTCAGATCCCGCTACAGCGCAAAACCGGGCAGCTATATCAATCGGCCCGCAAAAAGATCAGATTGAGCGCTCACCAGCTGACTGGCCTTGTCCCCGGCTAGATTGGGACGAGGTGTTGTCACTCCCAGTAGACTGGGACTGGAGGCGTTTCTCGGCCTCTCGGATGCGCTTCTGCAGCTCTTCCAATTCGCGGTTCTGGATCAACATTTGCTGCTTCCTTTGGGGTGGAGGTTAGCGCCATGAATATGAGGACCATGATAACAACGAGAGCCGCATGCGATATCGGTGTTAAGAGGAGTTATTAAATGTTACTCACTTCTGGTCGATGGTTTGCGAAAGGTTATCGACGTCAGAGTCTAGCATAAAGGCGCTGTCCAAGGCTGACGAGAAGGCTTGCGCCATGGTCCTGAGATCACGGTTAATGCTACTATTCGGATATTCGACGGCAGTATAGGGAAACGAACGACTGAGGCCGGGCCTTCGGCTTCCACTCGCGATCCAGGTCAGACATCTTGTGTGGTGATTTGAGCTCTTTCCAAGGTTGATTTCTGTGATTACGGAATGGGTCCCAACAGTCGGCGACAGAGGGGTGTGCGACCTTGAGATAGGCGGGGGCAAGAACAAGTCGCAAAATTAAGGTATTAGGCGGTTTAGGTATCGTCGAGACCAGGACCAGCCAAGAATCAAGTACAGATGAAACTGAGTCGAGGATTGTTTGAGGCTGTTAAGAGGAAAAAAACAACAGTGTCAGTTCTTTATACTTCTCGACAGATAAGCCACAATCTGGTGGGGAGGTGAAAGAAATACCGAATATCAATAGTATTAGTTGCGATGAATAGATGGAAGAGTGATAAGCAAAGAACTTTGGAGACCTGCCAGAGGAAGCTAAAGGGGGGGGGTGTGGAAGAAGAAGGGGAGAAGTGCGAAATTGAGAGATGATCATAGCCCACCGACTATGTTACTAGTCGCGGTAATTGGAGGTCCCCATATATCTCCACCAGCAAGGAGGGAGAGGTAAGTGTTACAACTGTATTACAGGGGTTCGACGCCATTATGTGTCGCATTTTCAGAATTAATATGGAGTCTGTATATATAAGGGGGGGTTCTGTTTCAGGGGTTGGTCATTTTATACTTCCATTACTCCGTACAGGTATCTTTCTTCTTTCTTCTTATTTTCTTCTTATTTTCTTCTTATATTGGAAGAAAACATTGGATAATAGGGGTTAATAGTGCATACATAATACATATATCTATTGTACTCCGTACTTGACACATCTTACAAACGGGAATATAAGAAGTTAGGAAATTAGGACATAACTTGGAGAAGGAATCTAGTTAACTATAAGGGAAAACGTGGCAAAATAGCCCCTGACATGGGGTTCAAGGCAATTAGGGGGTGATATTCAAAGTACACTACAGTACAACAGTACAGAGGCTTAATTTTACCGGAATATATAAGCATATAAGGTTGAAAATGTCTATGCTTTCAGATATTCTAGAAAAGATTCAGATTGATATGTAGATTTATAGATTGATAGATTGATAGATTGATAGATTTATAGATTATAGATAAAGACCAATAACTAGTTATAGTGAACTATAGACAAAGTACATCGTACGTTGCATAACCTGCATTCTGGCAGATTCCTCCCTGGCAACTGGTCACATGACCTATACCATACAATACGGTAGCATCGCGAACTCTCCTCGATTACAATCTCCCATTTCCAATTCCATCGTCATTTCAATTCGACAGGGGCATTTCATCTCTTCGATTCGTCTAACCCCAAACTCGACGCGTTTTTACCTGATCCGTTGTGGTCGCCGTTCATTTTTTTGGCCCGCTCAATTTTTCGCGCGGATAGATTGAAAGGCTATGCGTATTGCGTCTCTAGCCTGTCGCGTTCACTATCTTTAAATACTAGCCAACCTAGTCAACCTAGCCTGCGAAGCCCGCAGTTCAGCGACACCGAGCACATTCCGTGACCACCCTGACCGCCGTCCGACCACCGTGGCCCCCATCCTCAAAGCCTTTCCCCCAGTGGCCGACCGGACGGGCAATGGGGGATGCCTCCTCTGTCGGCATACACTTCGTTTGAGTCCCTCCTGTTTTTCCAGTCTCTGGCGACCTCCGATTCCCGACCAACAAGCTTCGGCTCAATCTCAACCCTTTTGCGCAACAACCAGCTCGTGCGCGAGAATGTCGATTTCGATGCCGATCGCCTGACCCCGGAGGCGCTGGAAGATCTCTATGCGACATTAATGCGCGATGGATTTAGTCGTGATGGTGTGCTCTCGGTCAACGGACGACCCGCAGATACCTCTAGTCCGCCTAAGCCAAAGAAACGCAAGATCTCCAGTCCGCGACCAGATGGGCTGACCGGCGGATTCACCCATGCTACGCTCGTCCCAGAGCTAGTGACCCACCTTTACGCCAAATACAGAGATCTAGTCACCAGGGAAATTAGGGACGATGAGAAAAAGTACACAGAAATTAGGGCTGAGCTGGAACGGCTACAGCAGGAGGGCGACAAACCAGCTGCTGCCGCAGCTACAGCACTCACACCGGTGAAGCCGGTGCCTACCGAAGGGGAGGATGCTGTTATGAAGGAAGAGGTGCCGCACCCACATGTACAAGATGAGACAACCCAACCTGTTCCGACGACCATCCCGCTCGCCCAAGACAAGGCCAAGCCCGAACCACAGCACATTGCAATAAATGTGCCCCCTACGACAAACGAGCCTCCTACACCACACCCCGTCCCTCCTGTGACCCAACCTCAAGCCCCACCTCCCCAAGTGCAAACCACGACACCCAACATAGCTGGGAACGCACCTCAACCGCAGCCGCTCACCACTCATCCCCTACCAAAACCGTCCATCCAACCTACGCTTGCGCAATCTACCCAAAAAGTCCCTCCATCCACACCGGCCGGGCCGCGCGTAGCACCGGCACATCCGTCGCAAATCGCACCTCGTGCCAATCCCGCCCCACCTGCGCCCATTACTACAGGTAAGGCTGGCCCGTTGGCACCGGCGTCCCAGCGAACCCCCGCTCAGCCGAGCTTCCAGCAGTGGCAGCTGGATCCTTCTCCTCACTCACCATACCCGATCGCCTCCCCAGTTGCTGCTACACCTCAAGCGGCCCAGGCTACTACCAAGCGACCTGTGCCACCACTTCCCACCAACTCGCCTTTGCCCGGGTCACAAGCCCAGGCTCCTCTCCAACCTCCCGTTCCACAGACACCCAGCGCCGTCCCGTCCGCAGTTCATACACCTGTTCCAATCGGCCGGCCGCGTGTTTCCCAAACCCCGAGTGCCACATTCCCTTCTTTCTCCGAATCGCGCGCCTCCCATCCACGCCTGTCAATTGATACGCAAGGATCCTCCACACCATGGAAGAGAACCCCTCGCCCGAGGGTTTCGCGCTCTCCAAGCTCACCGCCAAGGCCACGGCCGGAGGACGTCAGTCCCATCAGTGAACGAGACCAATCACCCGTTGATGCGATGGAAATGTCACCTCCCCCAAGGATCAATCTAGGCCAACGAGCTCCATCTACAGAAGACAGGAGACCACGACGCGGCCAGCCTGACACCAAACCCGCCCCCGTCGTAAAGACCGAGAAACTAGCTTCAATTCAGAGGACGCGTGCCGTAAGTTCGACTTCTTCCCGGAGTCGCGGGCGATCCATGGCATCTCGCGATGGATCTGCTGCGCCATCGGAAGACACTCTACGTGAATCACGGGTCTCGGGCCGCCGGAAGGGTGTAGCTGCTCCCGCCGACGAAGGGACGCCCAAACCGCGGATAAAACGTAAACGCGGCGCAAGTGAGGCAGTGGAACTGGAACCCCACCCTGCGGATATCCCCAGATTCGACACGACTCAGTATGTCATGGCTACGCGCAATTTCCACCGGACTGCGGCACCGATTATGAACGATGTAGCCACGCACAAGCTTGCCTCCATCTTTGCCAAACCAATTAGCGAGCGCGACGCCCCGGGCTACCACGATCTCATCTATCGGCCATCTGACCTCAAGTCAATCAAATCTGCCATCCACCAGGGAAGCAAAGCTGTCGCAACCGCAGGAGAATCAGCAAGCACCCCGGCTGGGGATGGAGAGTCTCCTGTTCCTGGTGGCACACCGTCAAAAAGCGGTGTGCTCATGTTGCAGAAGAATGAGGATTTCATACCACCCAAGGGAGTTGTGAACTCTGCACAACTGGAGAAAGAGTTGATTCGCATGTTCGCCAACGCTATCATGTTCAATCCAATTCCTCAGCGAGGATTCGGGCCTGCCTTCCCCATGTCTAGTGACCGCGGTTCGCGCGAGAGTACCCAACTGGGCGATTCCGACGAGGGCGGTATCATCCAGGACTCGTTGGAGATGTTTGAAGACGTTCAGCAGGCCGTTACCCGATGGCGGGCCGCTGAACGCACTGCTGATGAATTGGCTAATAAGAATGTCCTCTCCCTTCGGCGTGGAAGTGCCAGTGATTTCAACACTGACAGTACTGATGATGTGAAGGGGTGATTTATTTCGAACGCCATCTTGTATTATGAACTTTGTATTTGATTAGGATCGGTTTATTGGATTTTGAAATGAAATGCCATGATGTCTTCTGTCGGTGCCTTCGATAGCCCGACAGTTAGTAATAATACTCCTGCTCTCTGTGTATAATTCTCTACTTCAACCTACTATACATAGTGATAATCCAAACAGAAACATATTAACATGTATATCATTGTCATAACCTTTTCAGTCAGAGCCAGTCCTGCTGCCCTGAGTTTAAAATGGGGTATATATATTTTTCTATTTTTCAACAGCCGACCCCTTAAGCCTGCTCCGGCCTCGTCCGTCCAAGTCCCTCCTTCGCATAGAAATCCATCGGATACACGCCCTTATTCCCCGTATCCCAGTTCTCCCGCACTCCCAGCGCAACAAGCGCCTCATATGGCGTCAACAGCGGCCGCGCAAACGCATATCCCCAATCAATACTCAACCGCGGACAAGCAATCTGCACCCAGCACTCCACATCCGCCATAGACGCCAGCTTACCAGGGAAGATCTCACTGAGCAGCAAATTGACAATTGGAATGCCGCGTTCGCGCAGGTGTCGCTCGATCATCGCCATAGTGTGCGGGTTACCCTGTCGACCAAGCGAGCCGAGGATAATCCCCCATTTTTTCGCGGTCTTTGCTGTTGCAATCGCGTCCCGGCGGATCGTATGCATCTCCTCGTGCTCGTAGCTCTCGCGTGTGAGGGTTCGCGAGTATGGATCGTACCGGTAGGCTGGGATGGAGGGGTTGTGGATCATGGCGGATTCGAGGTGGAAGCGGCCGTCGCCGAGGTAGAGGATTGCGTCGATTTCGGTATCGGAGAGTTGCGGTGATGTGCAACCGAGAATCTCGCCTTTAGAGAGAGGTGTGATTTGCGGGATTATGACACGGAAGCCGGCGCGCTCAAGCACGGGTTTCAGTCCGTGTAGCGTTGCGTTGAATTGGATTGTGCCGACGGTCGCGATCGACTGGCCGGGCTTAAAGTTGCGCTCTAGTGTTGCGAGGAGATGGCTTGTGTCGATGCTGATGTCCACGAAGATGTATAGCGTTTTGATCTTGGTTACGTCCACTGGGATCAGGCAGCTGTGCGCGTAGTGTACTAGCAGATCGCAGCCTAGAGCGCGTGCTGTGTAATCGTCGATGCAGCAGGCGCCGTATGTGACATCGCCCATGATGAGAGTTTCGATCCCAGGGCAGAACTGGGTTAGGATGTCGGAGATGGTTGTCGCGAAGATGAGAAGTCCCTCTGGAAATTGGAGGGCTACTCGCTTGGCTCCTGATGTGCGGACTCGGTGGATTGTCTTCGGAATTTCGAATGAGTAGTTCTTGGGGAGAAGCTCCATTGCTTCTTGGATCTCAGGATCGTTCAGAATCTCTGGCGGCACTTGGTTGAGGGTGCGGGGTGTGCGTCTGGGAGCGGCTGGAGGAAGTGAAAATTAGGTTAAGTATTTCTGTTACTCCAGTGGACAATACATACCTGTTTGCACCGCTGTGGACTCGACATCTTTCTGACTAGTCGTATCCTTCTGGGCTTGGGCATCTGCTGTTCGTCGTCCAACAAATCTCTTCTTTGGCTGTCGCATTTGGCTAGCGGTTTGTGAGCCATCCTCAGTAGAGGGGGTGGGCAGATTTGCCTCCATAATATCTAGCTGTAATATGAGCCAAAAATAACAAAGATTGTACTTTTCACTTGATCCTGACAATCTTCAATCTTCAATCTTGGAATCAATATCATCCCACTTCTTTTTTCTGCCGACTGACTCAGCAGCAGGTGGGGTGATCAACTAGTCCGGAAGGGGTAAAGCGTTCTCCGCATTCTCGGCCTCTTACGGTTTCCATTCTCAAAGCTCGCCCTCTGCCCTGTCTCTTTACGATTCTGGTTCCTCTGATCATACAAGTTGGCCCATAATTTATCATGATGAAAGCTCGCCCCCGATTGAGTTTGTTCTCAGCCCTACGGTCTCCATATTCTACACGCCGCTTCGCGACCGAGTCGCGGTTAACCTCGGACCATGTCCGTATCGTGGAGGTTGGCGCTCGAGATGGACTGCAAAACGAGAAGAAATCAATTCCAATGCAAACAAAGCTTGAGTTGATTGAACGACTGGCTAAAACGGGCGTTGCCACTATTGAAGCTGGCTCATTCGTGCCCGCAAAATGGGTACCCCAGGTATGACCTTACCGAGCGTCGTCATGTAGTGCGGGCGGTTTCAGGCACTGAAGACTGACGATTTGGTTACATTATGATAGATGGCAAGCACAGCTGAAATTTGCGAGCATCTTCTCACAAAACCGCCACAAGCACAATCTACAATCGCCTACAACTATCTTGTCCCCAACGTCAGAGGACTGGAGAGCCTGGTCAAGATACTTGATGGCACAGGAGTTCCCGCAGATGCGACTGGAGAGACATCGACCACTACAGAGGTGTCTCTTTTTGCTGCAGCAACGGAAGCTTTCTCAAAAGCGAACACTAACTGCTCTATTGCCGAGTCACTCGAGCGCATCAAGCCGATTATGTCATTAGCAAAGACGAAGAATATCCGGGTACGCGGATATGTCTCTGTTGCCTTAGGATGCCCCTATGAAGGCCCCGATGTGAATCCCGTCAAGGTGGCTGAGATTACCGCCACGCTGCTGGAGATGGGAGCGGATGAGGTCTCAGTGGCGGACACAACGGGTATGGGCACCGCTCCCCGGACCATGGAGCTTCTGCAAGCTCTCAAGGCTGCTGGCATCGCTAATGCAGACTTGGCGTTGCACTTCCATGATACCTATGGACAGGCCCTGGTGAACACAATCGTCGGCCTTGAGCATGGTGTCCGTATTTTCGACAGCAGTGTGGGCGGGCTTGGCGGTTGCCCATATTCCAAAGGTGCGACAGGCAATGTGGCGACAGAGGACCTTGTGCATACTATTCATAGCCTGGGGATGCACACCGGGATTAACCTGGATGAGATGTCGAAGATTGGAGGTTGGATTAGTGGGGAGTTGGGCCGAGCGAATGATAGCCGGGCTGGAAAAGCGACTCTGGCTCGCCTGGCGGGAGAAAAAGCGTCGCTTTGATCAATTCGCGCTATATCCCGTGCTTTTGATCGCTCAGAGTGTCTATTAGTTCCAAACAGGTTTCACATATTTGACAAAAACAAACGTAAATATGCTTTGCATTGTCAGTCTAGGCCGTTTTGTTATGTACACTGTAAATGTGGTCAACCAGAATCAAACACCCACTTCTCCGTCTCCGGTTATGGAGACATTATATCGCTCGACAAGAAACACCAACGCCAACATGATGCAAATCTATCTGGTCAAAGCCGAGGTCACTCAGAAGTCAGTGACACGACCACCATAGCTCCAATCACCACCTGCACCCCATCGCAGGGGCTCATTCTTTGGTCCACCAACTTCACCAGTCTTTGGGTTCTTCTCGCCCTCAAACTCTGGCTGCACTCCCTTTGGCGCATCCGGGTGAAGCTCGCCACCTTTGCCGTCTGCCTGAACCTCGGCCTGTGGGGATTGATTGACCTGGGGCGTGCTGAAGGCACCAGTCGAGCGCCTCTGGAGCTGTTCGAAGATCTCCTGTTCTTCCTTCGGGAGACGTGGGGGAGCCGGGGAGTCTGAGAAGGGCATGGGCTTGTCGTCACCGCTCTGGCGCAGGTATCGAGTTGTGGAGAGGGGCCGGATTGCGCCGCGGGCTGTAGTGGCCGAGAGGATTGAACGGCGAATGACGAGAGAGTACACCATTGCGTTTGTGTATGAGGGAATGATATGTCCAATGAGGTAATTTGAAGTTGTACGATGTACGGGGAGATCTCGGGACCTCACCCGGTTGTTGACTCACTCCACCGATGTGACTAAGACGGCCGATCCCGATATCGCCTTTTTTATTTCTCCCCGTAGGTCGCTGATCCGATCAGTCGCTTCTCTTACGATCCTCACCTTTCTTTTGCTGCAGATTAGCTTTTTTTCTTCTTCTATTTTTATAATCAAAAGTTTGCCATGTCTGCCCTCCGCGTGGCCGCGCGCCGTCTGCCTCGCGCATCCAAATTCGTCCCTGCTCTCGAGTCACCAGTACAGCGCCGATTCGCGACTACGTCCAATGCCCCTCAAAATGCGAAGTCCCAGGTCAAGGTATGTGTAACCCGAATTCTCGAGGATAACGTTCAAGTTGGAAGTTGGGAACTGACAATCGCATAGAAGGAGTCAACCCTGCCAAACCCCGACCCTTCGGCGGACTCACTCACGGCGTCCTTCATTAAGGAGCGGGCTCCTTTCATGGTTCCAACTTACGTTCGCCCGGCTCCGATGATGATGAAGGGACAGGGTTGCTACTTGTGGGATATGGAGAACCGACGTTATCTGGACTTGACTGCGGGAATTGCAGTTAACTCTCTTGGTCACTGTGACCCGGAGATTGCGAAGATTATTGCGGAGCAGGTGCGAAATGCTTTTATGGACTGGATAGTGGCCAATCGCTAACGAAAGATCTTCAATTATAGGCTGAAACCCTCATCCACGCTTCAAACCTCTACCACAACCCTTGGACCGGTGCTCTGAGTCAATTGTTGATTGACTTGACGCAGAAGTCCGGTGCTATGCGCGATGCCTCGCAGGTCTTCATCTCCAACTCCGGAACTGAGGCTAACGAGGCCGCCATCAAGTTCGCTCGCAAGACCGGCCGCACTCTGGACCCTTCCGGTGATAAGCATGAGTTCGTGTCCTTCAACAACTCATTCCATGGACGCACAATGGGCGCCCTCTCAGCCACCCCCAACCCTAAGTACCAAACTCCATTCTCGCCCATGATCCCCGGATTCGAGTACGGAGATTACAACCAGATCGACCAGCTCCAGACTCTTATCACGGATAAGACATGCGGTGTCATCGTTGAGCCCATTCAAGGTGAGGGCGGTGTTAACATCGCGACCCCCGAATTCCTTGCTGCTCTGCGCAAGCGCTGTGACGAGACCGGTGCCGTTTTGATCTACGATGAGATCCAGTGCGGTCTGTCCCGTACCGGTACTTTCTGGGCCCACGCTCACCCCTCTCTCGCCCCGGCCTCTGGCGAGGCTGCCCACCCCGATATCCTGACTACCGCCAAGGCTCTTGGTAATGGCATTCCTATTGGTGCCACCATTGTTTCTGGCAAGACGGTTGGTCAGCACATTAAGACAGGTGACCACGGCACCACTTTCGGCGGCAACCCATTGGCTTGCCGTGTCGCTCACCATATCGTCGAGCGTCTCGCTGAGCCGGAGCTCCAGCAGTCCGTCCAGGCCAAGTCCGATCTCTTTGTTTCGGGCTTCCAGGCCATGCAGCAGAAGTTCCCAGGTGTGATCTCCGAGATCCGCGGGCGCGGTCTGATCCTGGGTCTTCAGCTCGCCCCGGAGTACACTGCTAAGGCTGGTGACATTATCACTGCTGCCCGTGAGCGCGGTATGTTGATCATCACTGCTGGGGAGGGTTGCATCCGATTCGTCCCTGCCTTGACGATCACCGAAGACCAGATTCAGACTGGTCTGCGGATTTTGGAGCAGGCTGTGGATTCGGTTGTGGCCAAGTCATGAGTGTCTTGTGCTGAATGCCGGTTATGATTTTGTTTTTCCCTTTATACCATCTTGTATTGCGTTGGATATGACAAGACATATTTTCATAGAAACTAGAGCAATAAAGGAAAAGTGTCGTGTGTCCCCTTGTTTTTATGTGGAGAAGGCCACTCTCAGCCACGTGTAGGGCGGAAGGCGGTGGATCGCGTGGAGATAAGGAGTCGTCACTCTTCGCGCTTGATTCGATATGCCCCCGTATTCTGTCTTCTTCCCCTGAATATCCAACTAGAATAAATTATGGACTGGATATCTCTTGTCACCTCGCTGTAGCTTCTTATCAACCCCCCAGCGCAACAACCGAATGCCTCTCCCAGCGTCCGATGAGGATGCCGCAACGCTTTCCTCTCAAGATCAACCTTCTCCCATCTGGAAACGTTTCGGCGCCCGTCTTAGTGGTGCCTTTAGCGGCGCAGACCCTCGAGTCTGTGTCGCTTTCTGGCTCTTTGGTGCGCACCCTCAACCAGCCCATCTGGGCAGCTGATCAGCCTAGCTAACACACATACCCGGCAGGCCTTATCAACAATGTCCTATATGTGATCATCCTCTCGGCAGCCGTAGATCTAGTCGGGCCCGATGTACCCAAAGGCGTTGTTCTCCTCGCGGACGTGATCCCGTCATTCGCGACCAAACTCGTCGCCCCGTACTTCATCCACCTGGTCCCATATTGGATGCGCATCCTCATCTTCGCCTTCCTGTCATCTGTGGGAATGCTGGTTGTGGCTATGAGCCCAGGTTATACCGATGGGGGAACGATAGCGTCTAAGATCGCGGGAACCATCTTGGCTAGCCTTTCTTGCGGTGCTGGGGAGCTGAGCTTCGTGGGTCTCACACATTTCTATGGCCCATTCAGTCTGGCTGCGTGGGGGAGTGGTACTGGCGCCGCTGGGCTGATCGGAGCTGGTGCTTATGCCCTCGCAACTTCGGCACTGGGCTTCTCCGTTCATGTCACGTTGTTGGTTTCAGCCTGCTTACCGGCCATTATGGTTCTGAGCTTCTTTGTCGTGCTACCCAGGTCCCCCCTGAGATCTAGCGAATCCGGTGCTGATAGATATCGTGTGGTTGAGGGTGGGGAACAGGTGGAAGAAGACGAACTGGATGATAATGCTGGTGGAGAAGACGAGGGGCTCTTGGGGGAATCGCATAATCCCCCCGCCCACAAGTCTATCCATGTCGACCAAGGTGGTTCCTGGCTGGACCAGGCTCGCCTGAATCTACATCGAATGAAGGGACTCTTTATTCCTTTGTAAGTATTCGAGTCTTTCGGTTCTCCCAAATCTAGGCTGACAAACATCTAGCATGGTCCCGATGCTACTAGTCTACATCGCCGAGTACGTGATCAACCAAGGTGTGGCTCCAACTCTGCTTTTCCCACTGCGTGAATCGCCCTTTGAGCACTTCCGCTCGTTCTACCCCACCTATAATGCCATCTACCAGATTGGCGTCTTCATCTCACGTTCCTCGACCCCATTCTACCGCATCCACAATCTGTACCTGCCGTCGCTTTTGCAGGTAGTAAATCTTGTGTTGCTGTCCCTCCATGCTATGTTCAATTTTATTCCCAGCGTATGGCTTGTGTTCATCATTGTTTTCTGGGAGGGCCTCCTCGGTGGAGTGGTATACGTGAATACCTTTGCTGAGATTGCCGATCGTGTTCCCAAGGAGGACCGTGAATTCTCACTGGGGGCTACCACTGTCAGTGACTCGGCCGGTATTTGTATTGCGGGCTTCCTCAGTATGGGGTGGGAGGTCTGGTTGTGCAGTTGGCAGGTTGGACATGGGCGTGATTATTGCCGACAATAGACATAGATCTGCAAACATAAAAGATATACAATATAAATGCACAAAACACAAAAAACATAAAAAAGAGAGAGAGAGAGAGAGATCTACCCTGGCGGAGGGAGTGTCGCCTGGAAGGGTCAGCTGATGTCGTCACTGGCATGTGAATGTGGGACTTGACATGTGATTCACCCTTCCCTCGTTGTTCTCCAATGACAAGGTTGGATTAATTGAACTACGATGCTGATTGATGACATTCATTTCTTATGGCTTGTCTGAAAATGTCTCTTTGTCTCTCCTTGGTTCTTTTGACTATTCTTTATACTCGACCTTTATGCATTCTTATGATTTATCTGGGCTTCACATACACTACATATACTCCACAGGCTGAACTAGTTAGACTGACTAGTCTCAGCCTTAACTTCAAGAAATGATAGGTATGCAAAGATATGCAACGAGTATTCCACTTACAATCCACCAGGCTAATCGATGTCCAGACCACGTCTTAGGGAGACCTTCAACCCGCTTCCGCAAGATCCAAGTATTTGCAGTTGTTTCTTTCTGGTCCGTCTACTTATTAAGGTACGGAATATCCAGTCATATCAGTCGAAGAATTTCCACCCGCTGAACATTCACCAGAGCAGATAAACATGGCCCGCCGTTTATTCGATCACTCTCTTCCCGCTTCACAGGGAAGTTGACAACATGGCAGACAACTGTTATCATATTCCTCTGGCTCTACCTCAGCCGGAACTTCGCTAAGATAGTTGGGCTCGAATGCCCTGAACCATTAGCAAACATGTACTCGCGGTCCTTCTTCCGAGCAACGTGGATCACCACTGGCTTGGATGCTGGATTCTGGACCGCGATGAACATAAAGCCCAAATGGTTACGAGATATAGCGTCGTTAGTCTTCACGGCTTACTACCTGATCGCTGCTGAACAGGCCGACGAGAAGGTTCGCCGCGTCCGTGCTACACTGACACTGGAGCACCTGCGTGTATCTTGGAATAAAGCCACCAGCCCCTACCTGTGGTCAATGGCGAAACTGCTACGGCCACGAATGACTCAGTTCCCGGCCCGAGCGATTCGTATTCCTCGTCCAGCGCAGTCTGTTTACACTGATCCAGTGAATGCGTGGTTGTATTTTGATGGCCCGTTAAGTGCGCTCCGAGATCAGAGTCTCATCGTGCTGGACGTGCCTGGTGGTGGGTTTGTGGCTATGAGTCCTAGAAATTCAGAGGACAAGCTATTGTCCTGGGCAGGGCGGCTCAAGGTTCCTATTCTCAGTATCGATTATAAGAAGGCACCAGAATTTGCATACCCCTATGCGTTGCATGAATGCTACGATGTATATCATAGCATCGTCGCTACAAAAGGTCGTTGTATGGGGCTGAGTGGGCAGACCCGTCCGCGGATTCTTGTCACTGGCGAGAGTGCCGGTGGCAACCTAGCAGTTGGCATGACCTTAATGGTGTTGCAGTCTGCGATGGCCCAGGGTTGGCGTGGAGAGGATGTGCTCCCGGCCCCAGATGGTGTGGTTTTGGGATACCCTGCGTTGAATATGAGAGTTGAAAGCTGGATGAGCGATGAGCAGATGTCATTAATCCAGGAGAAGAGCACGCGTCAGACAAACCGCAGTGTTCTGCAACGGAAACAGGATCAATATCGTAAACTAACGCCATTCACGTCGCCAGGTGGCTCCGTCGACGATTTAACTGCTATCTCACCACCCGAGAAGGCAAAGGATAATGAAGAAGCCAACGTGGCTACACAGGCTGCTAAGTCACTGGAGAAAAAACTCCAAAGGAACGAGGACATAGCCCCAAAGCCTGCTGTTAAAGCAGAAGACGAAGTCAAGCCAATCAAGACCAGACTAGCTGTCTCATCCATGATCACCTACGTCCACGACCGCATTCTCACACCTGAAATGACACGTGCGATGATCATTCTATACATCGGACCCCATCATCGCCCAGACTTCAACACCGATTTCCTCTTGTCTCCCGTCCTGGCCCCGGATGCATTACTTGCCCGCTTCCCGAAAACATATATCATGACCGGAGAGCGAGATCCTCTGGTTGATGACACGGTTATATTTGCAGGCAGACTGCGGCAGGCAAAGCTACATCACTTCCGCGAGCGCCAGGACCTGGGATTGGAGAGGAATAACCGTTCTTTTAACGAGAGGAACTACGTCGAGATATCCCTGATCCCTGGTATTTCACACGGATTCATGCAGATGGCTGGCTTCTTCCCCGACGCGTGGAAGTATATCCATCGCAGCGCGGACTGGCTGGAGAGTCTGTCCCTGGATATTAAGACCGACAAATTTGAGGCGGATTCACTTTACCCTGGTCAGGATGGGGATGCTTTGAAAGCTAATAGTTCCCTCCAATGGTCTGGCCCAGCAAAAGTCGGAGCAACCGCTTCGAATAAGGGACGTAACCACCACCGCAAGTTCACTGGCGAGTCTTCCGGTGACGACGACAGACCATTGGAAATGAGCATGAGCATGAGCAAGATCACATCCGTTGCCGGTAGCGAGGATGCGCTTACGTCAAAGTCTGAACATCGCACGCGTCGGAGATCACGATCCTCTTTTGCCTCCTCGCGGGTTACTGGGTTTACCTCGTTGGGGGATGACCGCAATGCTAAGGAAGATTTTCTCGCTAAGCTCCGATGCTTGGAAAGAGCGGGTCGCTCGGACCCTTTCGATCCTGATGAGACAAATAGTGCTCCCGAAAGCCCGCGTGCTGTTCGTCCGAGAGGACGTAGTATCGCTTCTCTTGACAGCGAAGAGGATTTGCTGGATCGTCGGATGAACGGACTTGCTGGTGGGTTGATGGGGATTGGGGAAGGGGCTCAGACTCCCGGGCTGTGAGAGAACTAGACAGAGGACATTGGGGTTACGATTTACGAATGGAGGTTTGGGAGATATCTCGGGTTAGAGTGAGATCAAGAATTTGTGTTCTAGAAATATATGGCCCTTTACCTGAACCAGAAGATGTATATCTAGGTAGATATGTAGAACTGTCCTAGTAATTGGATCTCCATAGATGTCAGTGAGATGGAGAACTGATCGTCTGGTTTGGTCCTGTCACAGACCTATACAGCCTTGGATATTCTCTGATAGAATTCACGGTATATGGGTACAGCAATATATGGATCTGTCTCGTGTGGGT